ACCAGTTATCCTCCCTTAGCAATATAATTGAGACCATCCTAAAAAACAACTTTCTACCCTTGATAAGAAAACTAGTCCTGCACAACAGGCAGCCTGCATAGCAAAGTACATATTAACCTATCAACACAACAAGTCTATCCTGCACTCAAGATGCTCACTGGGCAATCAAACTGAGGTTGTTGAAGTGCTGGAGTTGTAGGAGGTGCTCTTTACTCTTGTAAATCCAGGTCTTAGGTGCTTTAACTCCTATATGTTTATGCTGTTCTGATTTCAGCCACTTAAGAAGAGTCATTAGGTAACTGGTAACTTTTTCACAAATGCTCATGTCAATAAAGCCAGGCAGAGATTTACTCCGTTGATCATGCATATGGAAAGTGAAAGATACTAACGTAGTGAAGGAACTGTAGATACAAGGATGTAGTCTAAAGACAAATGTTTCAGCAATAGGGTTACCTTAAACAGTCACTACACTCTGAGCTGTGCCAGATAGACTGTTTTTGTGAACAGTGTAAATTAAACTGTCAAACTGGTCCAGCTGCAGAGTCTTCTTGGGCAGGTTGTTTTTATTTTTGGATCAGCTCTCTAATCTGCTTTCCTGAATGCCCACACAAATGCTGAGGTCAGCACAACACAGAGGGCTGTGGAAGGGTGGGCACAAGCAGAAGTAGAGACTGCTGACAACTGAGACCCATCATGGCCAAGAGAATCCTATTTATGAGAAAAATATTTACTAGGACAATTGTTTGATGGAGGGTGAAGCTCATAATGCAATTTTTTGCTTAGTGGAATCATTAACAGTTTCCTCTCTCAGACAAAAAATAACATGGGGACCTAGTATCTTTCTCTATCCCTCTGTCAACAATGGTTTTAATGGTCTAACAGATGTGCATAATTGTAGGTTTGTAACTCACTTCCTAGAGTAGCAAGTTAACAGTCACATTTATAACCACTTACAGAGATACTTTTTGTGATATGAGCATAAAACATTCTAGCAATAAAATTAGACCAAGACAGAAAGTGAAACAAATCCCTCAGAGGTTATGCTTCAATGTTTTAATGTCACAAGCAGAAAGCGCTGTGGCTGAAAGAAGCAATCCTGCTGCTTGTGAGACTCCTCTGTCAGATAAGCTTTAACCTTTCAACCAATAGCACTGCACATTGAGTTATGTGCTGAAAAGGATCAGAGATTTGATCTGGTCACAAGTAACCTTTATTCATTCACTCACTTGGTTTTGCCTGGTTAATTTTAACTACTTCAATGCTTGGATATGAAAACATCTGTGTCAGCAGCAAAAAAGGCACGGAAGTGAGCAGGGAGGGATTGGGGAAAATTGTAGAGAGAGCCCTCCTTTCAGCAGCAGTGTTTGCTTGCACGGGTTTAAAGTTTGAACTGTGAAATGATGCCCTAAGTACTTTTTTTGGTTTGTTTGTTTGTTTTTTGAGAAGAGAAAGCCTCACAAAAAGTGGAAATGCTCATTCTTCAGTAAAAGCATTTGACAAATCCACAGCCAATACCTGCATCATTTAATGGTCCAATGAAAGTAAAAAGAACTCCAGCTTTGGAAGATTCCAGTTGCTTTAATTAACAATAATTCTGTTGCTAGTTGATTCATATGGAAAGTAAGATTCCCACAAGCACATACTGCAATTTAACTTGTGCCAGGAATGTATCTTCCCCAGGTGCTCTTACTGTGAAAAGACATAATAATATCATCTCACAAGTAAGTCCTGCAGGATATATTGGACTGATTTTCAAAAGGAAGGTGAACAAATCATCAGGATAACTTTCTGTTAAGAACATATGAAAATTCTCAGTAGTGATAATGCAGAACCATTTGCCATGGAAATCAAATTCTGAATAATAAAGTACCCCACACATCTGCTTCCTGGATAAACAATTTCTATCCAAGAGAGAACAGATGTCTTATCACATTAAAAATATTCAGCTCCTTAGCCCTGACTTTAGCTCAGTGACGTTACAGAAAGGAGACTGCAGATAAACCACAGACAAAAATGGCAAACATATGACATAAATTGCAGAAATTATTACAAAGATGCAGGAATTTAACACTACAGCAAACAAACAAAACTATCTGTACTTGTCAAATTGGAAGATATTTTGCAACTTTGAAGAAAGCCATGATGCAGCTGATGATGCACTGATCACTGGACGTAACAGGACCAGCTCCCACAATAACAGCACCATTCCTCCCTTCAACATGAAGATATAAGAAACACTCCTTGAGACTTGCACTGACATGTCCAAGAATCTGCAATTATGCTGAAACACATAGCATGTAGGTATATACTATAATAGCCAGAACATTAATTCTGCCATCAAAACATCAAGATCCAGTGGTGTGAAAACTAACCAAGTGGGAGCAGAGACCCACAGAGAGACAGCAGCACTCAGAGAGTGCTATGGGCCACTTAGTCAGAACAATGACACTGATGACTGGAACTAATAGATACCCTCTAGATCAGCTGCCTCTGTTCTTACCAGTGACTTCAATTTGCCAGACATTAACAGGAAATATCATACAGCTGATACAAACAGCTCCAGCAGATTCCTACAACACCTTGACAATTACTTCTTGGTACAGGTACTAAGGGTGCCAACTAGGAAATGTGCTCCCCTTACATCTGTTGCTTATTAAAAAAGTCTCATGGGTGAAGTGGCCATTGGTAGCCATGCTGGCCATTGTGACCGCGAAGAAGTCAAGTTACTATCTCACCTTAGCAGACAGATGAATGCTAAGTAGTAGAAGAGAAGAGAATAAAAAAGAGAAAAGGAAACAGGATAGCTTTAGAAACACATACAGCAGGTTGCATTTTTGTAAACACAACATATACATAGGTTATCCTTAAAGTAATGCTTCCTATCTATTTCCATGCATATGACATCAGATACAAAGAGCACAACATTACTGGACAGTGCAAATTCTCAACTATGAAACAAAACATTGTTTTTCAACACAGTCACCACCATCAGCTGTACATTTTTGCCAGTGATGAACAAGAGCCTGCATGCCACGCTCCTAAAAATCTGCACCAGAGGAAGTGACCCACTGTTGCTACTGCTGAAACACACCATCCACTGCCTCACTGTGCTCACATCCACTGTTTGCTCTCCAGAAATGTGCAGCAAGTGCCAGTGAATGTCAATGGATGCCATTTTTTTTCCACATGGAGGAATTCTGTGACACACATACGCACTTCCATATCAGATGCCATTTTGTCACACTGGTTCTCTGCTGCGATCTGTCACATGGCAACAAATGTAACGAAATACTGGTGGGATGGTTCAGCCTCTACTGCCATACCACCAACATCTGCCTCTAGCATCCTAGGGAAAACATCAAAAAACAGGAGGCATTAGTTTTGGAGCATCCGTCTTAGATCCTGTCGTAGATCCTGTCTTAGTCAGGTGATGAGAAAAAGAAGTCAGAGTTACCATCTCTCTGTGCTCCTCTCTCAAAAACACTGAACAGTTTTGATGTCTTTATTTTGTTCCTATATCACATAATAAAAACTTTTTGCTATTCTCAGGTTAAACTACAAAATGCTTTTTGACTCTCTTAAGTTCCAGCGTGACTTCATTAGAGAGGTTATCCTATTTAAATCCACATATATTCAATAAAGAAAAATAAGATCTTAGATATTTATCTCAGATGTTTAACAGCAAAAACTTATGGGAAGTGAGTGGACCCAACAAAACACAGCCGCTGTGTTATCTATCAACTGCAGAAAAGCACTGGAAAACATACTGCAAAGAGACAGTTTTGCCTTGGAATTGAAATGCATGAACTAGGTCTAATGAGTCTCTTTCATTACAGTTAGTTATCTCCCACTTAGCAAATATATAAAATAAAAAGCTTCTGCTTTTAACAGGATAAAAAGGAAAACTAGAGGAAAAGAGAACTCAGAGAAATGTGAAATTTTTCCCCCTCACACAGCTTCTAGACTGCAATATAAAATGTGAAGCCATATTATTTTGAACGAAAGAGTATCAGAATTTTATGGAAGGATAGATGTGCAGCCAGGAAAAATCCTTCATCTTGATGATTAACACTACAGTGCTAGAGAAGGCAACATCATTAGAGACTTGCTAGTCAAACAGCAAATCTGAAGCAACTTATCAAATGAGTTCTCTAAAGAGTCCTCTCTAACCTCATTGCATGACTGCTATAACAGTAAACTTTAAACTGATGTTCATTATATTACATTTCTGTAATGATTTTTCTGGGCATTTCAAGCTACATGAATGCATGTCAAGCACTTGGTTAAGAAAAAAAAAAAAAAAGTATTTTTATTTGGAAAAGGAAATGTTGGTATTTATTTTACAGCCAAATTATCCTCTTTCTTATTCACAGAAAACCTCACTCCATATCTCAGAGCTCAATTTAGCCCATGGTTTGGTTTTATACATTAAAAATCGTGTCTTTGTCAAATGAGACACTTTTTATTTTATAGAATCACAGAACAGCCTGGGTTGAAAAGGACCACGATGATCACCTGGTTTCAAGCCCCCTGCTGCGTGCAGGAGCACCAGACCAGGCTGCCCAGCCTGGCCTTGAATGCCTCCAGGGATGGGGCAGCCACAACCTGAGATAACGCTTTAGCTCTAGCACCACGCTGAGCAGATCGCCCGCCTGCTCACACCGCGCACAGCTGGTATCAGTGCATCAGGTAGCAGTGAAGGTAGCAGGGGCCAGGCGTTCTCTGCAGCCTGAGACCTGAACTGCGGCACGGACATCCGTGCTTTCAAGTCTGAGTCTCCCCGTCCCTTTCAGCAGCAGCTCGCCGCCGTGTGGTGACCACGGTTGCACCTCGGTGTGTCCAGAGAGCAACGACTGGTAAGCGCTAAGCCCCCTCCAATAGAGCAAGGTACCCTGCCTTGCCTGCTTGCTCGTCCGCTCGAGGTTTGCCCTGAAAATAACTCGTTTCACAGCGAGATAACAACCCTCCTCCCTACGCAGACGCTCGAATAGGTGGCTTACCGCTTCTCCTCGCCTGAACGGCGCACGTGAACCACACACCCTCACTCCTCCTCTCCGCCCCTGAGGCTCTTTCAAGGAAGAGGACAGAACGCAGAGCCGTTGCCCTGGCGCTTCACGTCAGCCGCTCTCGCGAGAGATGCCGAGCTGCTGTTATCTGGGGATCCCTGCATGAAGGAGCCGACAGAAACCCCCCTTGTACTTCGTGATCAGTCGCTGCAGTTCTGGCTGGGACAGCTCCGAAGCAGTTAACCTTGGCAATCACTTACTTAAGAACTATTAGTTTTGCTTTATTAGAATCGTAGAGTTATAGAATGATTAAGGTTGGAAAAGATCGCCAAGTCCAACCATCAACCCATCGCCATCTCGCCCACAAAACCGTGACCCCAAGTGCCACGTCTCCAAGTTTCTTACACATCTCCTGGGGTAGGGACTCCACCACCTCCCTGGGCAGCCTGTGCCACTGCCTCACCACTTCGTGAGAAGAAATTTTGCCAAATATTCAAACTGAACCATGTGTTGCAGAGAGATGCAACAGCTTCCTTGCTGCATTTCCCAAGAGGGTCACCTGGCAGAGAAGCTTCTACGGCATGGACATCCTGTAGGAACCACCAGAGCAAAGTTGGGATGTATATTATTGATAGCATGTACCACACAACCTCTGGAAGGGTGCTTGCAATGTCTTCTACAAACATGAATTTCACCTTACAGCCCTGTGTAGCAGAGATTTTCACCAAGATGTTGAAACCCACATAAATAGCTGCTTCAGGTAGGTCAGCTTGAGATGCAAGACAGCAAAGGTTGCTTCTGAATTTGAAAAATGCTAAATCTTCAGATCTTAAATTATAAGTGAAACTCAAGGGGTATCAAGTTAAAAAAAAAAAAAAAAAAAAAAAAGCCATCCTGAAATCCAAGGCCATGTTAGAAGAAGTCACCTGCATGATTTGACCAGGTCAGACATCACATCCTTGGCAGTGTGAGGGAAAAAGTGGTATCTAGATTGCTAGTCCTGTTTGTTAATTGAATGATCTAATGATCATGTATGCTTGTGGAAAATGGTAATAAAAAATGAGAACCCCACGCTTCATTAATGGTTCTGAGATTTTTGTTGTTGAGGAACAACTCAAAGTCTTTAACACATTAACTTTTGGGAGAAAAAAATGAAATCAAGACTAACCAATGACTTTATTGGATGTGTTTTGGAAAGGGATTGAGAGATCTGAATCTCCAAATTGAGAAGGTATTTCCAGCACCTGGAAGAACACAGACACATCTTTTGCCAAACAGAAGTTCAGTGTACAGGCAGGAGGTGAAGCTGAAAGAACAAAACTTTGACGATACACACTAAAGGCTTTGGACCTTATCAAGAAATAAAAGTCAGTCAGGTGGACAGCACCATTTAGCCCACCGTGGCTCCATGCAACCACCCTGAGGTACTGGAGGCAAACTAAGCCTTCATGCGTTACCTTTTTTATTATTATTGTTATTGATTTGTGTCCCTGACTTTGGAACACTGGGGACTTATTTCTTCACACTCACAGTTTTTCAGACAGCTTGCTACACTTGCAGCACAAACAGCTGCTGGATGCACAGCTGTTACCACAGCACCTCCGTTGTTTTTTTCTTTTCTTTTCTTTTCTTTTTTTTTTTTTTTGTCTCAAAAGCACATTTTCTACGATCACCATTTCAACCCAGACCGCGTCGCCGGCGGTGTCCTCACGGTATTGGGAGGGAGGGAGGGAGGAACGCAGGGAGGGAGGCTGGGAGCGGGGCGGTGCTTTGCGGCTCCTTCCTACCCACCCGCCAGCGCGTCCGCCCGCTCAGTTGTCATGGCGGCTTCTGTACTAAGTGTTGCTCGGAACCTGTGCTGGCGGCGTATCTGCGAGATAAGGTGAGATAAGCCTCCCTTTGCTGCCCCTCAGAGAGGGGCGGCTTGGACACGTCCCTGCTCCACAGCCGCCCGTGCCTCTCAGGGCTGCCCCGGGCGCGCCCTCGCGAACTCGGGAGGCCTTTGTGTGGTCGTAGCGCTGAGGGACTCGGTTGGGGTGGGTTGTCGGTTGGTGTAGGTGAGATTAGTGCTCTTTTCCAACCTCAACAGTTCTGTGATTCTATGATATCAGGTGCGACTCGGGACTCTGAGAGCAGCGTTGGAGTTTGCACCGCTTTGATCAGCTCTTTTACTTGTGTGTCTGGCATTGATGTAGTTTAGGAGCGCTTCAGATACGCTTCTAACGTGAACGGCTCTGAGCAGTCCTACAGAGCATGGGTCCTTTCCAAAAATAAAACGCCGTGTAACACCAAGCGGTAGCGCTGTTGCAGTCGCGTCCACTGCTTGGCTGGCAGTGGAGCAGCTCTTAACCTTCGGCACAATTAAATCAGTGTTATGAAACACTGTTGCTGGTAGTAAAACAATGACTTGCATCCTTAAGCAGCGCCACAGCTGCAGTAGTGGCAAGAGGTCCACATTCACTTTCTTTGGATCTTGCATAAAGTTATAGGACTGATTAAAACAGAGCTGTGCATAAGTGTGTAACCACAACCAAAGGTGAGTGACGGCTGTTCTCTTTGGCGCTGAACTGTCAGAGCACATCGATATCCTTCCCTCCAGTATTAACTGTAATATCTTTTTCTAACCGATAGCTGATGCGGAGCTCAGCTGGATTTATCATTTTTAATCCACCCTGCTTTTATTTCAGAACACTTCATTTCTCAGTTTCTGTCCTTAAGTCAGCCATGAAGATCTCAGAAATGAAGTAGACTTACCCACTGAAGAGGGAGACACTGGAGTTGGAGATTGTCCACCATTTCAGTGGCTGATTTTTCTTTACTTCTTGTGTATATGTGTATATGTATACATTTATGTATGTAAGCTTATGGCTTTCCTTCTGTGGGTGTCTGTATACATATACAAATACAAAAGTTAACTTTTGCTATTTTTGCTTTCTCACTGCCACCTCTTCACGCACATCCCCCATGCCCAGGTGTTTTTATTTTTGATCCACATTTCAAATGTGTAAACTCTTGACTCAAAAACAATGCTACATCTTCCTACTATAATGAAAAACTTTGAAACAACTTAAAGAAATACTTCACTAAAAGTGCTCTCATGTTTCTGAACAGTTATCTTACTTTGCTTCTACTTTGTCCTTTTAAAAGTTGCCTCTTGTCCAGTTCAGTGGCATCTTTTGGGTATGTTAGTTTAAGAACAGAACAAAAAAGTAAACATTGCCAGTGCTGAGCAGCTGTGTGATGGCAGTTCCACTGCCAGAAGAGAAAGGAACCAGGACTGTGAGGAAAAGCAGAGGCTCTGGTGCAGGCAATGTCACTGATCAGAGCTCGTGTAAGCCCTGTCTAATGCGAGGTGCAAGAAAAATGTCGCTCCCACCACAGCTAAAGGAGTTCTCTTTCAATTAGTAACTACAGTAAACACCTTAAAACATGCACGGGTTTGGACATGATTTGATTCTTTATCAGTGTTCTTTTGAAAGATTTTGGATTATTTCCCAACAATTAGACTATCACAGTGCCAGGGAAGCTGCGGAACTTCTCCTCTCAGATGATTGAGCTCAGCTGAACAGGGCCTTGGGTAGCCTGATCTCATCTCAAAGCTGTCCCTGTTCTGAGGTCACATCAGGAGCAGGTTTCCTCCTGAATCCACTTCCAACTTACATTATCCTTTTTGCAGATTTTGGAGCTCAGCTGTACCCTCACCACAAGCAGAGCAGTTTTGTATGAAGCAATTTAATGAGGATATCAGTGTGAATATACATGCTTCTGCTTGGCTTGTAGGAGCAAGATTTGGCCAAATAAACAATAGTGCTTTGAATTTTCGGTTCAGAGTCCTTATATGTTGCAAGCTGACATTTCTATAATTTCTGGACACTCTGAAAGTTTAACAGATAAGGTATGAGTCTAAAACTGAGGTCAGGATGCCCATATGAGATGTGAAGATGTCTGAATTCAAACTATTTCCCATTATTTCTCAAAAGCTTTTGGTCAGACTATGCCTTCAAGTTCTTGCTGTTGCCTCAGTTCTAAGCAGTCCCATCTCTCACCTGGCAAGGCCAGTTATCAGGTGCCCATCTGTGTGTGCCATCTGAAAGCTTGAGTCTTTTTCTGAGACTTGTATGTACATGGTTAATGGGCAAGATGTGATGTAGCTTTCCTCATAAGATGAGGCAGGTCACTTTCCTTTCCTTTAAAAATGCAGATGCTTTCAATTTAGGTGCTTGACCACAGTGAATGCGGGATTACTGCGTTTGATGGCTTCATCTTACAGGGTCTATGTATTCTTTTTTCTGTCTCCTCAGACAATTGTTTACTTGCCAAATAAGCTGTTAGTGGGAGGTAAGATACTTAAAACTATACTGGAATATGCAGAGGAATACCTCATTTGGTGGTTGGTTTTTTTTTTTTGTTCTTCCTTTGCCAGACCCAAAAATGAGCATAATTGTGCATCCTACTAATTAAGGCTCCCTGCTGAGAGTACAGTTAGCACAGCTTTTCAAATAATGATGTAACGTTGCCTGTATTGTGCCTTTATTACATACCTCTTTTATGTTGTTTCCAAACAAAATGTCACATGCAGTTGTGTGCATTGTGGCAACTGCATCTTCAGAGTTAGTTCAGTTGTATGAAGCAGAACTTGCCTTGTGACACTCGGTTTTATTTTATAATGGTGAATACTAGTCTAAAAATAGGTCAGTTTGTAGAATTTCCTCTTGCTGTCCAAAGTGGCTTAATAAATACTTAGAGAAGTAGGCATTTAGTGCATTAAGAATACTGGGTAAGCAAGTTTAAAAGTAGAACAGTGAAGCAGATGTCATCATATCGATAGGTTCAAGACCTGTGATGCTCTGGCTGGTACAACATGCAAATTCAACTGCTGTGATTCTCATGAGCGAAACGCTTTTACTCAAGTATGTATCTCAAATAGGAATGAGTGCATCTTGACAAAGAAACTGAAGTCATTTGTGCCGTCTGGACATTCAATTGCAGCATTTTTCTCCCAATGTTTTGTGAGAGATTCCTTGACGTATGTATGTGAGCATCTTGAGATACAGAGAAAAACACAAATAATGCAAATTGTGTGATCAGTGTGACTTCTGCCTTCAGTTAAAAAGAAAAAACAAACAACAAAAACAAAGACAACCCCTTTAGGCAAGTTTCCTACCAGTAATATTATTAACTTAACATGCTAAGCCGTTACAACAAGAAGGGAGGAAAGACATTCTGAATTGGATAAGAAAGGAAAATGGACTGCTACACATTATTAGATATAATTCAGACATTAATAATAACGATTTAATGCTTTTAGTAACACAGAAAAAAGATGCATCAGAAAGACAAGATGGATGTACTCTCAGATTTGTATCAAAGACAGTACCAGAAAAAGAGATATATCCTTAGAACACTCATAGAAATACAAGGGCAAAACTCAAGGGTACTTCCTAATTCATTCTGTTTTTAACTGTACATTTCCTTCCAGATACAGAGTTGTAAGTTCCATGTGCTGGATCTGCTATGTGCTCACTTCTTGTCCTTTCTCATTCTATGTAATTGTTCTGATCTGCATTTGTCTGAGAAGGGGAGGCTGATGAAGTTGTGCTCAGAACGTGATACTGTATCTGTCCAGCATTTGTACTTTCAGCTGTTTAGAATTGGAGACTCTACAACTCCATTGCTGTGAGGTGGGCTGTATTTGCTTTTTATTGCTGGTCAGACTCGTAGGAGCAGAACGTTTGTTGGTGGGAAGCCTGTGTCCATGCTAGCCTTGTTTTGAGGGTTTGCTTCATCCTGGCTGTAGTACAATCCTAGCACTGAGTGCCTGTTAGCAGCCAGCGGACAGCTTATGAGTTTGTATAATCTAGGAGGAATCTAACATGTATTTGTGAGACAGCTCCGCAAGAGAAACCAGGTGAGAGCAATTGGAAATAATTTAGGGATTTTCGAGAGCGTTGTCATCTAAACTAAGACATTGATGTAGATGCCCCCCATCATCCCAGCTTGTTTCTTGTCATAGTACTCTCAGCAACTTCAGAAGAGGCTAGGTCTTACCAAAAACAGCTTTGCATCAACTACTCTTTTATTTCTCAGCAACAATAAAGAGCCTTTTCAAAGAACTGATAACATTTCAAATAAGGTGAACTGAAAAAGAGTTAATTTTTTAGTAACCTGTTGGCTTTTCCTTCCTTATTTGGCCTTAGTGATCTTTGTGTGTGTTTGGAATACTCCCTTGTTCCAGTAAGTCTATTTGTACAACAGTATCGGCTCTTCAGCTTGGTAGGCAGCAGCTTTAAGGGCTAGAGTTCGCTTCCACTCTGGCTTTTGGACAGTGTCCAAAGTCTGTCTTGTTTCCCAGCACCATCTTGTGACTGGGCATCTGCAGGTTTTCAGCCCACTCACCCAGCAGGAGCTCAGCACAAAGTCCCAGTGCAGTACACAATAGTCATTACATGATCTCTGCAGCCATTTTCTATTCCCGTCTGGGAATTAACTGAACCTGCTCTCTGAATTGGTGGTCCTGTATTTGAAAGCATAACTACATTCATTGGTAATTATATGAATGGCCCATTGATATATTTATAGCAGAGCATGATGTTATAGTCTCTGAAGACTTTCCCTTCCTTCATCAGTGACTTAAGTGCCATCTCTTTCTGCAATCCCTTACAGTTTTCTTGTTAAGTAAGAGACTTACATCTCTTACTGCCCTCCCTTCCACCATGTTAGCTAAGGCAGAGAGATGTAAAGTTCTGGGAAGAGTTCTGGGGTTTTTGTCTTTACCATGGGACCATGCGTGTTATAAATAAACTCTTCTGATGAGAGTGGAGGAAGAACTAATCTCCTGTGGCTGAGATTGGATTGTTTCTGTTGTCTTCACCAAACGGCCGTGCTCTGCGCTGTCTTTGCATTTGGGTCTGATTGCAGGGGTTGGCACAACCAAAGTAGGTACAAACCTTGCCTTGCAGAAAACCTCAGTGAGGCTGTCCTGGGGGTGACCAGTCAGAGTGGTGGCATCCTTTTCTCTGTGCCATTTCTGTCTTCCAGGCTTAGCCACAGAGAGCTCATTGGCCTCAGAGAGAGTCTGCCTTGTGTCACTGTAGTAGGCAATGCCCACTCCTTTTTGTAAATCCTATTCAGAAAGCTGTGGTTGGGTTTGGCCATGCAAATTTTAGTAGCTTTGTTTGGATACCGGTTTTTTTTTTAGTCTTGAACAGCCATTCCTTCCAAAGAAGGCTGAAGAAAATCCCACTTGACATAAGGAACCTTTTATGTTTGAAACAACTTTGATAATGAAGTGACTTCATAATATGCCAACATCCTGGTTCTTAAAATACCCTCATGGTTGGCTTTTCACACTGACAGCAATGATATTAAACAAAAATTAATCATACTTACAATTGTCAGAGAAGTATTTTATCAGTTAATGTTTTTAAAATGATCAGTCTTAGATAACTCAGATTAACCAGATGCAGAAGGAACATAAGCATTATTATTTTGTTCACAAGGTTCTGGCTTCCATGTTGTCCTAAATGCATACAAAAAATGTGACAGCACGAGATAGCAGTAAATTCAGTGTGAGGATGGATTGTGTTTTTGCTGAAGTCCAGAAAATTTGCGTAATGTTTTGCTGTGTTGCTTTGTTTATATGTGTGACAGCTATCTCTTCAGTTGATAGCATGGAGAACTCTGAGTGGAGATATCTGTGATTTAGTTAGGGATTAAAGTCTCTTTTAAAGTCTCAGCCATTAAATAGAAATTATTGCCATGCTGGTTTGGAAACAAGCAAACAACTTTGCCCTTAGTGCTACCAGACTCCACAGTTCATGGTATCTTTATGACTGTGGTTGTGCAATGCCGTATTTAAAATCGATCGACCAACCTTCAACAGCCCTGAACCTCTCCAGGAAAAGATCAACAACCACCTTTCTGCTTTCTGAATGTGGCAGAGTCCTTTTAAGCTCTCAAAGACATTTGGTTCCCTTGATGGAAAGCACTTTTTCCTCTGCTCTCTTCTTTTTTTGCCTCCACTTTTTTTTCTTTCTTCCCCCCCCTTGCTTTTTTCCCCCCCCCAATAATCTTATTCCTGCGGGGAGCCAGATGGTGAGTTGTCCTTTAATTAGCATTGTGGCCCTTTGCTGGACTCTCCATTAGCTCCATCACTCATGTGCAGAGGACTGGACCCAGTGATTTAGGCATGGCCTCACCAGTGCTTCATGGAAGGGATTCTGTACTTGGATCTGAAAAGTTTTCTTGAGGACTGGATTTGTTATGTGGTATTAAAGCAGTGTATGATTTTTATTTCAGATGTGCTACTATTTTATTCCATGATAGATGTGCTTGTAAAATGCTTAGAGATCCAAACATATCAGTACTGAAACTTCCAAGCTACTTTGGTTGTCAGCTGCTTCCCCAGACCAACAGTTTTCTGTAATCTCCATACTGATAGCACAAACCAGTATGTCTGCACTGCATCCCCCCCAGTTACTGCTGAGATCCAGTGTGAGCTCTGGGAGCTCCTGCTGTGGGTGCAGCCTTCTAAGTGACGTGATTTAAGCCTTTTATGAGGATCTAATGGGACATGAACTGAACTCACTTGGAATGTGTATGATTTTCATCTCTAACAGTGACTAATATTCTCAGTGTTTTATTTTGAACACAAGAATTAGTAATGTGTAACATCTACAAGCTCGTTAGGTTCTCTGATGAAACAAAGAACAAGGCAAGAGACACAGACGGTGTCTAAAGAGAAAGAGTTGGAAATTCGTAAGACTTTGCAATAACATTATCTATTGATAAGCTGTAAATTCTGCCGTGACAGAATACTGCCTCATTATTTTCGTAGAGCTTGTACAGTAATAGAATCATAATCTTTGCTGTTCTGATTGTATCTAGGTGTCACGGATTCATGTGGGAAAGTAAGCTTCAAACAAATTGTTTGTCTTCATTCACTGGCTCAGCTGAACTTGCAGTAGTGTCAGTGGATTTTCTAATGTTCCAATAGTGGCTGTGTCCTTTTTGGAATCCTAGCTGCGTTGGCCAAAAGCTATTAACACCAGTGAGCACTCTGCCTTTATTTCCATGCAGTCAGCAAGGTTTATCCTCAGCAGCCAAATAAAAAATAGCTTTTTTCCTCTCTCCATTAGCAGCAAAATTATTTGGCGTATTTGTTCATGAGTGTTTAGTTAGAAAGTCACCTTGGGTGTACAAAGGACCTGTTTGTGTTCATTGGTGTCCAAATAAACTTTGTTTCTCACCTAATGTCACATGGGTGGGTTGCAGCTTTGTTGGTTTTTTTTTTGTTTGTTTGTTTATATTTTTGACTTTCAAACGTGTTTTGGAGGCTATGTCTGCAAATCTTCCTGCTCAGAGAGACGTCTTCTGTGAACTGTGTCTGTGATTCTATCAACTGGGGATGTACAGGAAATCCTCTGCTGTTTCTGTCTCATTCACCACATCCAGTTATCTTAAAGCCTGCTGGAGAGGAAAAAAACTCTTAGAGATTTAAGGAGATTATCCCAGTTTCCCCCTCCTCTCCAGCAGCTGTGATGAGAGAATATTAACTGTGTCTGAACAGAATGAAGAACAGCCCATTTCAGATCTTAGTGAATGGTAATCTAGAGCTTTGATTCTTAGCTATTCTTTACAACTGAAAAAAAGCTGTCAAGTGCAGCTGAGCCACTTACACTAAACAACAGTGATTCAGCACTTCAATTTGCCAGCAGACACATCATTATCTTCTAGTTTTTGTGTGTCAAAATAATGTAGGAGTCTAAAACATTGAAAGCTGATAAGGATTTGTACACTGAACTTGTGTTTAGAACAACTGCTGAAATTTTCTAATGTGAAGGAGGAAATAATTTGGCTTTTATTTCTTTCTGTTTATTAAAGCAGCAGTAAGTGAATTGGTTGTAGAGAATTTGCACTGTTCTTTCCCACTAGGTAGACGTATAGGAAATACCCAGTACACTGGAAGTATCTTTATTATATGGTAGTAGTAAACCTTAATTATTCCATGTTAACCACAGAATAGTGGAGGATCACCAAGGACTGTGCTGGTAGAACAGGGAGGGACAGGTTGTTTGTATGTCTGTTGAAATGTGTTTAAGGAAAACTGAACTTCTGTCTACTGAGTCATCATGCTCCTGTTTGTCACAATGATTAATAAAACCTTGTACAAGAAAACCGAGAAAACCAAATGTTTTGATTTCAAGACAGTAATTTTAGCGTTAATAAGTCTTTCTTACTGGTTTTTTGACCTAAGAAGTAAAGAGTTTGTTCCAACAGATCTGTGTAAGAGTGTGGGGAGCAGCAGCATAGCTGTACCTGTGCATCTGTCCACTGGTTCACACTGAAGGGAGAAATCAACCAACTCCAGATGCTAACCTGCTGTTAACTGCTGACCTGCTGCAGCCTGCTTGACTGGCATTGCTACTGACCTACCGTTGCGGTGCGTGCTAGCAGGTGAGAGCAACACGTCTGAACTGAAGGCTCACAGAGAGAGTCTGTGAATTGCCATGAAGAAGTACGGGCTGTTTTACATGCAGGGATTGCTGCTGGTTAGTTGGCTTTTTGCTTTTGAGCAAGGTATAGATGCTGGTGTCATGAAAAGAGTCTTTTTTTTCCCCTCAGAGGAGCAATTCATTTAGCTGTGTTTCCTTCTTAGTTGCTAGATACTGAGAAATATATCAGTTGCTGAAATTTGAACAGGCAGAATCGTTTGAGGCAGTTTCTGCTTCTCTATCTTCTGAACGAAAGCTGAATTTCATGGGTCTCTGCTCTGAATTGTTTTCCTTTTAACTGGTAGCAGAGGATTCTGACAGAGATGCATACAAATGAGGGGCAGTGGAAGTTCCTACACGGTGTAGCTGTGGAAGCAGACACAGACCTTTTCCAGATGACAGAAGCTGTGAAGAAAGATGCTCACATGTCAAATATGGTAACTCCACATCTCCCAGTATAAGAAAAGAACATCTAGAAGTTGACAGTGGAGGTTATGAGATTATATTAGCATAATAACCTGTCAAGTGGAGGTAAAGTAATGGGGGGAGGAAAAAAGGAAGAAAAAAAAGTTGAAGAATGTATGACAAAAAATAGTGTACATAGAAGGCTGTAACAGGATAACAAAGAGGGTTTCTTTCCTCCTACGACTAAAAGAACCTCGAGTACTGTGTTCAGTGTTGGGCCCCTCACTACAAGAAAGACATTGAGGTCCTGGAGAATGTCCAGAGAAGGGCAGCAAAGCTGTGAAGGATCTGGAGCACAAGTCTTATGGGGAGCAGCTGAGGGAACTGAGATTGTTTAGTCTGGAGAAGAGGAGGATCGGATAAAACCTTATAACTATCTACAACCCTCTGAAAGGAGGCTGTGGCAAGTTGGGAATTGGCTTCTTTTCCCAGCTAATTAGCATTAGGATGATAAGTAATACCCTTAAGCTGTGCCAGGGAAGGTTCAGGTTGGATATTAGAAAAAATTTTCTCTGAAAAAGGAGTGAGGTGCTGGAATGGGCTGCCCAGAGAGGTGGTGGAGTCACTGTTCCTGGAGGGGTTCAAGAAACATGGAGATGTGGTGCTGACAGATATGATTTAGTGGGCATGATGGTGGTGGGTGAACAGTTGGACTAAATGATTCTAGAGGTGTTTTACTAACCTTAATGATTCTATGAAGTTTCACTTAGAATTTCTGTATTGACCCTCCCCACTCCCCCCCAACAACATTACAACACTCCTTTTTTACCCAGCAGTGGCAGAGGAGTGATTTCTTCAACACTCCCACAGGTATCTCCCGTTGGATTAGCTTTGTAGGTGCTGCTGCTTTTCCTAGCTCAGTTCTAGGTAGCCCATAGTAAGAGAAGACTTGGAGGACTTAGCAGTATAGCAGATTAGCCTTGTCTACATTCAGTTACTTAGAGAAAGCTCTTATGTTGTTAGGTAAGTGCTGGGCTATGTTCAGGTTTACCTATACAGTAACGTAACATTAAGTATAAATACCTTTTTGGGTTCAGTAGCACATAGGATGAATGGTGACTTGGGCAACCTCCAGATTAAAATATGTAATGATTTTCATGTTAACAGAATGCTCAGCAAAATAAAGTGAAGTACAGTTTTACAACTTATCACGTACAGAAAAGACCATAAGTGAATATGGAAAACAATAATGTTATTTTCCTAGTTACCAGAAAGCTACAAATTACTGGCACTGTGAATGCTTTGCTTCTTTTTTGATGTTTTGAATCTTCATTTCAGAGATGCAGATGCGAAGTCTTGGGGAGAAAATAGGAGAAGTCAGTGTCTTGGGTTGAATTTCTGTTTCTATGTGGGCCACTTATTTTCTCACTGCTAAAGTTTAAATACTGGTTTCTGTTCCCTTCATATGCCTCATTTCCTAACAGCTGCTGCAGTTGCTTACAACTGCAATCTTTCCCACCAGCAGTGCCCTTGCATCCCTTCATGTGTCCGAACTTGTACTCCTTTTCTAGATCCTTTTCTTTCTCCCTCAGGGAGAAAAATCAGGATAATCTGAAGGAAGGATCAAAGGAGGTACGAGGGAGGAATTGAAGCCTGAAACTCTGCCTGGAGCTGGAGTAGGCATTGTGGATCACCCATATATATGTTATATGTATTTGCCCTCAATTTCTCCTCCTCTTCTAACTTGTCCAGTTTTGTCTTTTGTAAGGAAAAACAGTCATGTGTAGCCAAACTCAAAATTCCTTTAATCCTGAGCATATATGCGTACACTTTTGGGCTGCTGCTGTGCCTTTCCCTGCTTCTCCCTACTCAACTTTTCTTTGTATATATTTGCAAAAATAGGGTCACTGTTGTGTATTGAACAGATTCTTAAAGACTATTTATAATATCTAAAGCACTCTGTGACCCTAGTCAAGCTGCAGTGAAGTCAGGATTGTCCAAAGTGGTGTAAAACCAAAGCTTTGTTTTTAAACACTGAATCCACTTGAGCATTGTCACCTACTGCTTTGCTGGGTTGTGCCTCCTCATTTCTCTCTCCAGCACTCGCCACTTTTCATGGGTGCCAGCAGAAGGAAGGTGAATTATTGCAGCAAGTGTATTGGTAGCTAATTGCTTACGAAGTACAGGACCACAAAGAAAGCAAGCTTTGCAAAGGAAATCATTTACCTTTGCAGCGAATAGATGAGAAGGGGGAAGGCCAAAGAGACTTTGATTTCCTTTCCTGGGCATCTTCTCTGCTTGGCTTGAAACAAGCACAGGTTTAACACTGGCAGTTTATGGGTCAGGTTCCAGGTTCTCCATGTGTTATGAATAGTTTCAGCAAAATCTTGCACAGTTTCTCAAGGCCACTGAAAAGAGGTGTGGATTTGTTCATGGAGGGGATAAGAAGGATATAGCACTACAGGCAAGGAGGAGGGGGAGGAGAGGATGGAGGGAGCAAGTTTGCTTCTTGGTATGCGAAGGCAGCCTCTCCTATGCCTCTCTCCTTGAAGTTGTGTCACTGCATGGTCTCAGTGAGGGCTGTGCTGTTTAGTGCTGGCAGATGGTTAGACATAGAATCATAGAATATCCCAAGTTGGCAGGGCCATAAGGACCAGCAAGTCCAACCCCTGGCTCCACACAGAACCACCAAAAATCAGAGCACGTGACTGACAGCATTGTGTGAGCACTCCTTGAACTCCAGGAGCTTGGGGCTGCTTTTCCATGCTTTTCTATGCCCACCGCCCCCTGTCCCTGACCCCAGCTGCCCTCCCCTGACGCAGCTCCATGCCGTTCCCTCGGGCCCTGTCGCTGTCACACACAGCAGAGCCCTTTAAACAGTGAGGGCTCACCCAACATGAGTGAACTGTGAAATGATTTTTCTCTTGCATTTCCATTCTTTGTCATTTTAGTATAGAAGTAGCAGTCAGCTTAGCTTAGCATCTTGAGAACGCCATCAGTGGTGAGATCTTGAGATCGGCACTGATGTGTAGTGAAGTGTCCTCTGAGATCAGAAGGCATAAAGAACTGTGTGACTCGCAGGTATCTCGCAGAGAACGGAGCTACAAGTGGTAAGAAAGAGCTGAAAAGAAGTAGGCTTTTGTATAACCACACTGTGATAAACAGTTAAGTGGCACTGTGTCCTTTTAAAAATCATGAGGTAAGGAGGGGAAAAAAATACAACAGTGAAAGATGGGGTGCTGGAGGTTGGTAGGTGATATATTTTATACACACAAAAAAACACGCTGCTGAGAAGTAAAAGTGGGTATAAGCAAAGCAGCAAATAGGTGTAGCTCTGTCTTTCTCACTGTAAGATCATTTCACTTCTCCCCAGCTCTTTATTTGTAATTTCATTCTTGAATTCTTCTCTTCTAACTTGTCCAATCTGTATCCTTTGTAAGGAAAAACAGTCATGTGTAGCCAAACTCAAAATTCCTTTAATCCTGAGCATATATGTGTACACTTTTGGGCTGCTGCTGTGCCTTTGCCCTCTTCTCCCTACTCAACTTTTCTTTGTATATATTTGCAAAAATAGGGTCACTGTTGTGTATTGAACAGATTCTTAAAGACTATTCACAATATCTAAAGCAGTCTGTGACCCTAGTCAAGCTGCAGTGAAGTCAGGATTGTCCAAAGTGGTGTAAAACCAAAGCTTTGTTTTTAAACACTGAATCCACTTGAGCATTGTCACCTACTGGGCTGACAAAGCAAGACCTGAAGGTGAGGTTTGTCTCATTCTGTGACTGTGCAAGTTAACTGGATCGCCTCCCAGAGGGGTAAAGGATCACCTTGTGAAACTGTGACGCAGTGTGCTGAGCACATGGGTTGGTTTGCACATCAGTTCAGCTGGCAGAAGGCTCACCCACGTATTCGTCTGGGTTCAGCACTATTCTGATAAAGGCCTACAGATGATCACTTGAAGTAAACTGACATGTCAAAATTCTTAGACTACTTGCTTTTTTAATCCCACGCTACATAGAAGTAAGCTTACATTAACGAAATGTTGCAGGGTTGGGTTGTTATTTTGGGGACTTTTTTTCATTTTTTGATAGAATTACCTTCTTTCTGATGGAAAGCTCTTCTCCCAGAATATTCTGTCCAATCTTTTCTTTTGCATGATTATGTGCTATGTTATAACTATTCCTTTTTTAACATATACTGCCCTCCTCAGAGATCCAGGCCTTTAGACTGCACACAGATTTTAAAAAATGACCACAACCAGACAGGCTGCGTACTCTTAATTCATAGACACATAAAGCTGTTGATGTTGTATGAAGAAATTCAAAATGAATAATAAAAATATTCTGTATTTCTTAGATGTTTGTCATGAATATAACCAGTATTTTTTCCATTTACTAACAGGCCAGTGCAACCTGTTTGCATTCCATCCGTTCACCTGCACATGACTGCGGCCACCATGCAAGTCAGCCAAAAAGACTTTGAGAAGGCTCAAGAGCAGCTGAAACTTTTGAAAAATGATCCTGGGAATGAAACGAAACTGAAGCTCTATGCTTTGTTTAAACAGGTTGGCTTAGTTTGCTTTTTTCGTAAGGGGCATTTATAAACTGAGAGGATGGGTCTGTAAAATATATATGAAAAGTACATGTTGTTCTGAAGTATTGTCTTAACAATCTCTTGAAATGCTCAAGTAATATTCTTGAAATTCCCCTTCGGCTCTGCCTGAATTCTGAGTGAAGCCAGAACTATTTTGTCGCATAAACTGGGAGTTGAATGTAAACCTTTATCCAAAGACTGAGAGCCATATTACATCAATTTTGTGATGCCTTCCATATAATGTAGTAAATATATTGATGCACCACAAAGGAAACTGCTTGCGCTTAGGAAAAAAGAGTGCTACATACTTCCTCTTACATGCGTTGCATCTACTGTCAATCAGCTGGTCCTATGATACAGTGGTGTTAATATTTGAAGGTTTACTTTTGTGAGTGTGGCAAGTTTTCTTTTTAATAATTCAAGAAACTGTTCCCCCACATTGATTCTGAGTGAGGGTTGTTTTTTACTACAGTGTGGAAGCAGACCTATGTAGAAATAGTACAGGTAGCCCTATGGACTAGCAGCTGGTAACTGGGGAGGCATTCGTGGATCAAGATAGTCTGCAGGATCAATTCTGTAACATGGGCTGTGACTTTTTATATGAAAGAAGGCAATGAATTGCTCTTTTAAATGAAAAACTAAAGACAACAGGTTGTTTCATGCATTTTCAGTAATTGATAAAAATGAATATGTCCTTTCTTTCTCATCTACTCTAAATATCTCTCTAATAGCATACTCTTCTTCAAGAAGACTGACCATAAAATACTTTGGGGTAACTGGGACCTTTGAACATCAACTGATCCTGTGCCTTTGCTCATAATAGGGCCTATTTTGAAGTGAGATCCAACTCCATGGGTCTTATCCAGTGTTCTTTTTGTTCACATAACTTCTGTATTTTTTTGTGTATAAGATTGCACAATTTTGAGATAAGTTACTGAGAATGTAAATGCATGGGCACCTTGGAAATGAATGTCTCATTGGTTAGGTTCATCTGCAGGCCTAGCACTGACTGATAGGAAATGGCAGGCATTGGGAGTTTTGTGGTATGTGTGCTGCCTGAATATTTTCTGACCACTGGAATTCCTTCTGTCTGAGGTGAATTCTGTATCCTGATCACATAACAGTCCTACCTGTCACCTTCTTTAAGCCAAGATACCTGAACTGTAATCAGAGGTTTAGTTTCTTTCACTCTCTTTTTAGGCTACTGAGGGTCCCTGCAATTCTCCAAAGCCGGGTATGCTGGACTTTGTCAAGAAAGCCAAATGGGATGCGTGGAATTCACTTGGCAGTTTGTCTCAGGTGACAATACCTATAATTTCAGTTACTTGAGCTCTGTCTTGAAGTGCCTGGTCTATGAATGAAGGCTTGATGTCTGAACATACTACTTGTTAGTTGACTCACTTTGCTTCAGACCACAGTTTTGCAGTGTATTTTAGTTTTGCACTGTGAAAGCATAGATTTCATAGTTATTGCTAACAGCTCATGTCAGCATAAGAGACCCATATGTATTGTGATTTTCAATAAATATACTTTTTCCTATTTTATATTCTGCTGTTCCCCTTAAGAAAGATGGATTGAGTCTCTTAGTTCTTACAGCTTCTTACATTGAAGAACAAATCTGTGAATCCAGCGCAATTTTGATAACATTGTCATTTTAAGAAGTTGGCCTCTGGTGCTACTAGTAAATGAAGGAAATGCTGAATGCAGTCACTACTGCAAGAGGCCTGCTGTTCAGGAATAGTGCTTGTGATTGCTCAAAGATACTGCTTAATGCAAGGTTGGGGTGACTTCTTGTTTGTGTGAATTTGGTTTTCTTTAAACCTACCTGGATAATTTCATGAACGTAGCATATTCTTAATAGGAAAGGAATTCGCTGAGGCCAGGATATCATTGGAAGTGTTTTTGAAAGAGAGCAGGAGCTAGGAAGAGATTTGTGGTGGCCTCTGGGGGTATTTTTTGCTTTTTTATTTTGTTGCTCCTTTTTACATTCGTTCTGTTTCAGGAATAGCAAATAAATATTTAAGGAAATGAACTTGTTGGTGAAGTTGTAGTAAAGAGGAAAAATATCTATCTTTTCAAGAAAACAGGTTGTAAAGCTGTCTAGGTATAATTCTTTTAAATCACTGTTTACTATAGAAACAAGGAGGCAGCATTCTTTTAGCTTTTGTACATTGTATTTGTGCTAAAAGATAAATAGTATCTTCAAACAGTTTTAAAATGCTGTGGATGCATTTGGGCACCACATGTCCTAAACTAGAAAGAACTGTTCATTTGGTTGGAGAAAGTCCAACTGGTAAGCAAAAACAAAGGATCCCCAGAAGCATGGAAATGCTGGGGTAATAACAGAGGTCATTCAGGTAATCTTAGGCACGGAGGGGACAATTCTTAAACAAACCAGTGTTGTCACTGTTGCAGTATCTATGCTCTTTCATTTTTCAGATCTGATGGATGCTGGCTTTATGTGTGATTTGCACTGTTTAAATACAACATGTTCTCTCCTTCTTGATTAGCATACTTTCCAGTGGAGATTTTATTTGGTCCAGTAGCACACTCCTCCTCTTTTTTTTTTTTTTTTTGGTTATTGATGGCCATTTTGTGAATAGCATAAAAAAGATAATCTTCAATTTTGTTTATGTGTTTGTTTGTTTATTACAGGATAATGCTAGACAAGAATATACTAAACTTGTCTCAAGTTTGATCTCTGCAGAATCTGCTGGCGAGAAAAAAGATACTTCTTCAAAAGAGAGCAGTCATGGTGGCTATGAAACCCTAATAGTTACCACTGATAACAATATCACAAAGATAATGTTTAACCGGCCTGATAAGAAAAATGCTATCAATCATAAGGTAAAGAAATTAATTTGAGAGGATTAGTGGTTATATCTATTTTTTTCTTTCCTGATTAGGCTACTTAGGTTTTTCAAGAATAATTGCTACAAGTTCAGCAGAGCTACCTGAAGTACTGTGGTCAGAATTTTGTGAGGGTTGAGTATATTGACAAACAGTGACAATGTAAGACATGAAGATCTAGTACAAAATCAAGCTACTAATGTTTTACAGATTGGGCTCTTCTGTGTCTTTTAAAAAAATCTTGGTTTCTTTTTATTTTTTTCTTTTTTTCTTCAGCCAAACTTATCATAGGATCGTGGGCTGTACTAAACTAAAATGGCAAACTGGAAGAAGACAAGTTTGTTTTGTGGAGGCAAGACTTGACTGTAGCCTTGCTTATAACAGTGCGTGCAGCCTAATTCAGCTTAGCAGTGTCATGTGTATGTCTAGGTAGTTGTTCTCCTGTAGCTGTCTCCATGAGGAAATCTCTCCTGCTGGGAGTATTGTGATTATCCTGTTTCACAATGGCAATGATACCAGGAGAGGGCTTTCACCCCACCGCTGCTAATTCTTTAATATATTATTTTGCTGACTTAGACTGTTTCCCAGCTTTTAAAATTAGCTGTTTCCAGTTTGTATTTTCCAAGGGATCTTATTCTGACCTTGAGATTTGAATTTGAAGTCTGAGTGTTGCGAAGACATGATTTTGTGGTCAGAAACGGTACCTCAATTGCAGTACTTTCTGTACATGCAAATGTTTTTGTACTTAAATGGATCATAGTTAAACTGTCTCTCAGGTTCCTTGTTGTCAGTGGAAATCTCCTTTTTATGAAATTTTGCAGCATCACAGTTAATATTGTGTTGATTTTTCTCTTCTGCAGATGTACAGAGAAATTATCAATGCACTTCAAGAAGCTGCCAAAGATGATTCTACCATAGCAGTTGTTACTGGTACAATACTTATTATCCTTCTCGTAGATGTGTTTTCTTTTATGTCAGAGTACAGTATTGACATGAACTATCTACTTCACATTTAGGCTAAGATAGAATTATGTAAGTGGGGAAATGCTTTCCTCTGTTGTAGACTGAAGATTTTCGACAGCATTTTGGCAGAACTATTTCAAAGTGGTGCTTCAAATTCTTTAGCAACCTTGCAGTTTCTGAGATGAGAAGACAGACATGGGATACTCCTGCAGAGTACTGCCTTTGAGAAGGCGATGCATCTGCTCCACGGATTTTCCCTACTGCTTTTAGGCTTTGTATGGATTTAGTAACACACTGGACATTGGAACATACTAAAAACAAGCCCCTCATGTGCTGCATTGTCATACACAAGACGAAGTTTATGCTATGTGTTTATCTATGATCATTAGAAAAACTGATTTTTGGCTTCTTGATTCATCTGGGGCTGCCGTAGGAAACAATTTGCCAGGGGTGCTGCAGCCAAGCCCTGCTGTACCCCAGTCATCAGATGCATGATGAGTACAGTTGGATGACTGTAGCCATCATACAAAAGGAAAGCCCAAACTGATGCTGCTTGTGAAATATAGCAGCTCTGAGGCAGTAGCATTTGAATTCTTTAGAGGACCTTTTTGTCTGTTTCTGATGCTGACTGTACAAACTGTCTGTTTCTGATTGCTGACTGGTGGCAAGCGCAAGCGGGAGAGACTGAATGGTTAATGTGGGTGCTGCCTTCCTGACCTATCCTCATTGCATATAATCATAGAATCATAGAACGGCCTGGGTTGAAAAGGACCACAGTAATCATCTACTTTCAACCTCCTGCTGTGTGCAGGGTCACAGACCAGGCTGCCCAGAGCCACATCCAGCCTGGCCTTGAATGCCCCCAGGGATGGGGCATCCACAACCTCCTTGGGCAACCTGTTCCAGTGCTTCACCATCCTCTGGGTCAAAAACTTTCCTCCTAATATCTAACCTAAGCCTCCCCTGTCTCTGTTTAAAACCATTTCCCCTTGTCCTATCACTCGTAAGCAGTTATTCCATCATATAGGATGACTTGGACAGTTAAATCATACACTGTAGCTTTTAAATACTCCTTGCTTTCTTTCGTGGTATCTCAGACTGTCTTGTACATTCACTGGAAATTCTCTGCTCCTTATCAGTGATTAAATCTTTCAATAGAATGATTTCAAGACAATGTTATATGCTGTGCCATTTTCTTAGTGCATCATAATGAAAGTGAGACTTGCTCGACAATTAAATAGACTATTCTATGTACTTTTGAGTCCTTTGTCAGTTTGAAGGAGAATGAATTGAGATATGTAAACTTACATTTCCATTTTCATGTTTAAAAAATAGGTACATTTCTCACTTGTTACTGTGTGAATGACTGTGAAGTGACAGCAAAAATCTGAATAAGTATGCAGGGAAAAAAATAAAAGATGGGGTTTTTTTCAACTGACAGTGCTGCAGGAAATAAAAAAATATTTTTTTCATCTCAAATCTTTTAAATTTAATATTCCTCACTTACTTACCCATTGTTTTTCCGTGAAGTCTTAGTCAAAACTTATTTTAAACTGTTGTTGTAGATGTCCTTAAAGATACTTTACATACTTCAAGACAAGCTCTCTAATTGCTTAATAGTGTTAGATGCGTGGAGGGAAATTTTTATGTAAATGTAGTAAATGAAAGCTTCTCTAGCTACTTAGAAATCATTGGTACATTTATTTTTATCTGTTCTTTGCAGGAAATGGAGAGTACTATACAAGTGGAAATGATCTGAATAATTTTTCTAATGTCCAACCTAGTGAAATGAAAAAGATGGCAAAAGATGGAGCAGAATTACTCAAGTAAAACACCTTGTTTTCAAATATGCTTACATTACTGTAACAGGTAAAATATAATTTGCAGGCATTGTTGGAAACATGGCAGCAGGAGCCCAGTTACGCTGTGATACCTCCCATTAGGTGACTGTGTCTGAGAGCTCATCGTGTGTGTCAACACAAAGACCATGGGGGAGAGGTAGCATTAATCATAGGAAATAACTGGGGAAATGAGGTGCATGTTAGCCATCTCTGTGTAATCTTTTAAGCACAGTGATGGTGTAGACTTGATTTTCATTTTTAGCCCCCAAAGTTCATACAGATAGAATGACAAAAATGTGTTCTTGACTCTGCAGTTTGTAAATTGTTTTTTGATTTATGATTTAAACAAGAACTGTAAGTGAAAGTGAAGTGCTCAGTTTTGCAGCTTTTACTTGGGCAAGCTGCCTGTGGCTCACAGTTGCCTGTTACAAAGTGATGGAGTCTGAATCGGTTGCAAGAAGTGCTATTTAGCCGTGCTTCAGTCTGCAGTGTTCTGTAGGGTATTCCATGGTGCACAGTCTTGTGGTCTCTTGTTCTTCCATCTCGCTTTTGTGGGAAGACTGTATTTGTTATGCTGTAAATGTTACATGGGCACAGTGCTTCACTGCAGCGGATGGACAGATATCCCAGAGAAGTGGAGTCTTTATAACACTGTTTACTTCTTCAAAAGGTTGTATTTTGAGAATGCATTTTGAACTTCTTGGAAGAAGTAGCCATCAAAAGAAACAAAGAGTTGTTTCTCAAACCTGTGCAGAACAGCACTAGGGAATTCTGCGTTGTGCTAACATCACAATTTTGGTACCTGCTTGGAGCTTCAGTGCAGAATAGAATCTGTGAAGGAAGGGGCTGCTGGAAGGGTAGAATTGGAATGGAAATACAGGCAAAAGACTTGTTAGTGAGCTGCATTCAGTAACTGTAACTGAATCAAAATTTGATTGCAGTTAATTAGGAAGGCTGTGCATGTTTGATTCTCAGCTGGCAAGAAAATACAAGTATTTTAAATAGTTATTTTCCTTGCTAGTGTTCATTTGGGAAGTAGTCTACAATGTATACTAACTAGGATACAGCTCATGTTTTTTGTTATGCAGTATCTAATCATCTTTTGAAAACGGTTTGTATTTGATGGAAGAGACTGGAGCGTGCCTTACCTTATTTCTGCTTTTCAGAGAGTTTGTGGGCAGTTTTATTGAGTTTCCTAAACCACTGATTGCGGTGGTGAATGGCCCAGCCATTGGAATCTCTGTAACACTCCTTGGATTGTTTGACATTGTCTACGCTTCTGACAAGGTGGGTACATTGCATAACTGATCCCAAGGCAGCCTTTATGGCTCTTTCTGCAGCAAATGTTATTTGGTGCAGAGTAATTTGATGAAAAAAACAACCACACAACAGACAGGTAAAAATGCCTTTTCTATCACTTTGAGGAATACCTCTGTTAATTACCTGCCTAGAGTTGTGCATCAGCCAGTGTTTAATATGCATTTTAAAACATAGCACGTGATTGTATTATATAGCTAATTTTTTATGCTCTCTGTTGTTTATCAATAAACTGTTTTTAACGAGAACCCCAAATTGTTAATTAATTTTAGGCAAGCTATTAGTTGCATAACTGTCAGCAATGGGTGGCACTTTGACTTCTGCCTCAGCACTGTGTTAGATTTTCCTCAAAGGCTCTGCTTGACTGGCTTTGTCATTATGACACTTAAGAACAACTAATCTGCAAGACTAAGTGTTGCTTGCCCCAAAAGGATTGTCTATGACTATGTCACTCCTGACATATGCTTATATAGTATACATAACTCATTCAGTCTATTCCAGTCCACAGATCTTTTTTATCAGAAGGTTCTTGGGTTCTCCCTCTTCCTCCCTTCCCACCTGATCTTTCCTTGCTGCAGGATGACCTCATTGATTCTTGTTCCTGGATCTAACAGACTACTTTCATCCTCTCAGCTTTCAGTGAGCACTTATACTGTTGGGTGTATTTCAGGTTTACATCTGCTGTCTTGATCTTTTTTGAGCTTTAGTTTTTCCTCATAGGCTTTCAGTCACGTTCCTTGTGACTCCTTCCACTCGTTCCTTGTCTTTAAGCATAATAGTACAAACTGAATACATCAGTCCAGCTCATGTCCTACCACCACAAAGTAAGAAAAACTTCTCCACATTATGCACACTGTATTTCTGTGTATTTCTGCATCCCAGGATGTCTTTTGATTTGTGTACTTGTGATCTGCTGTAACGCCTGTATTCTTTACTGTAGAGCTGTCAGTTAGAGATTAGTTCTTATTACGTACAGTATACAGAGTAATTCCTGCCAAACCTGTCCATACTAAATAACACCTTCTAATTCATACTTATCCAGTTTATTAAGACTATATTGAATTATGATCAATTCCCCCTTGTCTTAGTACCTCTGGCATCCGTAAATTTACCTAGATTTAGTTGCATCTTATTTTTGCATTGTATTCCTTTTTTTTTAAATCTCTGCACATATGTATTAGCCTCACCCTTAGTCATATGGCATAGCTTTCATTCCCTCTGTACTTGTATTAAAGTCAATGAATGGCTCATGGTTTAGCTGTGAATATCTGTTAGTACCTTCCTGCTTGCACCTGCAACTTTTACTTGAGGATTTCTTAGGGTCTTACAAAGTCCTTCACTTAAATTAGTCTTTCCTACTGAGAAGTACATTGAGGTCTTCTCAAAGATGAGTATTCTCTGTTCTTCTTTTTCCAGGACTGTGCACTCTATGTAGTAAGATCATCCTCATCCAGATTATATTGTACTTTCTCTTCTAGTTTGGTTTAGGCATTGATTACAGCCCACTCTACAGGTGTCCAGCATTGTTATGTCCGGACTCTGATTTTATTTCCAGCCAAGTACTTACAGAATGGCCATGTTTGTAGTACAGTGTACAGCTCAAGCTGACAATTTAAGAGATGGAATTGAGTGGGTATCAGATAAGAGTGTCTTCTGCGCTGGTTTTGGCTCCAGTTCCTGGAACACCCTTTCTCCTCCCCTTCCTAAAGCAGAACCAGTTATGCTAGCCTCTATCCTTGCAGATGCCTAATCCTTTCTTACAAACTTTCAATCATACAGATATCCCAAGCTTGCTAGGAAGCCTACTGATATGTCCTACTATACAGTCAGCTGCAGAACGGTACGAAATGATTACCTTCTACTATGAAAGCTCAAACAGCAGTGAGCATCTTCATGTGTCAGTTCATATTTTTTAAAAGGCAAGCCTTTTATCTTCCATGCTTAAAGTTCATATGCATTGTCAAAATACAAAGCTTTGCATTTAAGTTTTAACTTACAAATAGGGTTTGGTTTTGTGTCATCCCACGATATATTTCTGCCACAGATTCCTTTTACAAATTTTCAGAAAATTTGAGGAAGAAAAGATTCAAAGACTTGAACTTTTCAGCAGTAGAATAAATTTAGTGTGCTTTCCGACAGGGAAATTCTCTGCCTCCCAAATTATTTGGGCTAACTTTGAGAGTACATATGTCTGAGCATTCTTTTTATAAAGATCTTGCACATGCAGATTAGTTCTCCAAGCCTTCTATTCAAATAAGGTAATTTCATAAATGGGGATTATAAGATAAGGGAAGTGAATTATGTACATACAGACCATTTTTATGTGCACTGAGAGTTTGAGGCTGTTTTATCAGATTATATTTAAAACCTACTATGGTAGAAGTTCAGATCTTTTTCTGATGAATTCTGTTATATTAGAAACTGGAAAATGAAAACTAAATCCTAGTACCACACTCTGTTGTGAGCTTTGTTGTTGTTGTTGTTTTCCAGGCTACATTTCATACCCCATTCAGCCAACTTGGTCAAAGTCCAGAAGGATGTTCCTCCTACCTGTTTCCAAAAATCATGGGCTCAGCCAAGGTAAGAATGTCTGCGCTGAATGTAGGAACTTCTGAACTTTGTGTCAGTATTCTTCACTGCAAGTGGAGTCACACTGAGTCCTTGAAAAAAAAACTCCTGCTCACATGTTTTGAACCAAAGAGAAACGTAATGACAGTATCAGCACAGGCACCTAAACACAGGACTGAACACTGGTAAAGCTATAGAATGATGTTGATGTAAGTTGTCTTTTTTATGGCTTCCTCCACCTGTCTGAGATTATTTCTGTATAGTGGAAGGTTGTATCTTTTTTTCCAGCAATGGGAGGGAATGATGTAAAAAAGACTTTAAAACAAAAAAAAAAAAAAAGGGGGGGGGGAAAAAAACCACAGAGTGCTCTCTAGAAATGTCTTGGCAGGCTCAGCATTATGTGGCTCCAAGGCTGATGACACCAACAGAATTTGGGGCTTCTGGGTTACGGGATTATCTGCGTAACACCATAAGATGCACCTTTCTCAGAGGGAGTAAGAGATTTGTGCAGGAGTTAGGGTTGATAAACAGAGCTTCAAACCAGATTTGAATTGGGAAAGAGATAAAACCAGGCTTGCCTGTGATAAGCCATGGATTGGCTGCACCAAAATTTGAGAGACTGCATGTTAGTGAGGTCCTTCATTCTGCTCCACCAGATGCTGGCTACAGTGAAGCATCTTTGGAATGTTGCTACACCAGTGTATGCAGCATGAGGAAAAAGCAAGAGGAGCCAGAAGCTTTGGCTCAGAGTTGAAGGCCAGTCACTAGTGGTGCACCCTGGGGCTGATACTGGGTTTAATACTTAACCACTTAATGGAGACAAAGATAATGGGACTCAGCATGTTTGCGGATGATAGAAAACTGAGATATTCAGAAGGACCTGGACACACCTGAGAATCTCTTGGAGTTCAGCACAGGAAAACACAAAGTCCTGCACTGGGGAGAGCTATGTACTAGTGCAGGCTGTGGACTGTATGGCAGTCTTTAAGAGTCTTTAAGCAACTTTAAGAGAAGGACCTGGAGGTCCTGGGAGACATCCAGTTAAATTTGTGTAGTCTTACTGCAAAGAAGGCCAAAATTATTCTGGTCTGCGTTAGGCATAGCAGTGTCCACACATGGACTGAGGTGATCTTCCCCTCTTCTTAATACTGGTGAGTGCGTATTGTGATCTAGACTTCCCCTGCAAGGGAAATGGTGGAGATACTGGAGGACAAGCAAAGAACCACAAAAATGATTGCAGCATTGAAGATACTGCATATGAGAAGAGGCTGAGAGATCTGGAACTGTTTCACATGAAGAACAGAATCTCAGGGGGATCTTAGAAATGTTTACAAATACCTTATGAAAGTTTGTAAAGAAGATGGAGACATACTCCTGTCAGTGGTGCCCAGTGAAAGGGCCAGAGGAATGGGGTACACATTGAAAGATTATGAAAATAAGAATTTTACAGTGAGGGTGGTGAAACACTGCAATAGGTTGTGAGGAGTGGCTGCCAAGTCTCCATGCTTGGAGATGCTTCTGGGCAGCCTGCTCCAACTACCCCTGCTGAGCTTCCAACTAGACAATCTGCAGAAGTCCCTTCTAACCTCATCTGTTCTGTGATTCTCTGTTCTTTCAGAGAGCAGATTTTAACAGGCAAGAGCCTAAAACAAATGTGCCTTGGAAGCTTGTGCCTTTCCTGTAATGTTCCTTGAGTCTTGTGTCTTGTTCACTCACACTCTGCTCTTCTTTATTTAGGCAAATGAGATGTTGCTTTTCAATAAAAAGCTGACTGCAGCAGAAGCCTGTGCTGTAGGACTTGTGAATGAAGTTTTCCCCGACAGCACCTTCCAGAAGGAAGTTTGGGCAAAGTTGAAAGCTTATGCAAGTCTCCCCAAAAATGTCAGTATTTTAGTTTTTTTCTCTATGCTATAAGCCTCCTGCATTACCAGTCCTCCTGCCAAATCTGTGTTGGTTCTTGTTTTCATGTGATCCTTAACTGAAATAACAAAGCTCAGCGTACTTTGCTTCTATCTATCCCTGTGCTGCTGAGGAAAAAATACTTCTCTTTTTTTTCCATGGCTGAATTCAATACAGTGCACTTTACAGAGACTCGATGGCTGAAAAACATTGAAAATTAGCTATTTAATCCGCTTGCAAGCTATGTGCAAGTTGGATTCCTTCTCTTTGTTTTTTATTTTAGCAATAGTAATATGTGCACTGTGGGTGCTCAGGATGAAGCTGGCTGGCCTCAGTCATCCCATTCACTAGTTTAGGCTTTGCAAAGTTACTTGAGTCCCAGTGGTATTGTGTTGTGTTGGACAAGAGGAGATACTCACGCTAACTCCTGATAATCAAAGTTACATTTGGCACCACAGGTAGTTAAATAAGTTTCACTTCTTACACTCTTCTACTTATCTTGTGAGCACTAAGTGGATTGCTGTATTGCTCCCCATCAACTTCAACCATATTAGCTTTAGTAATTAAATGCAGTATTCTATTTCCAGCTAAAGGGTTGACTAAAAACTAGATTGTACAACGTTAATCCCAGTTTGAATTCCAATGAGCTTCTTGTGCTGTTTTCTAAAATGAATGTATAGAAAACATAACGTCCTGATATTCCTCACTTAATGTAGATATTCTTTTCCTTTCTCCTTCAGTCTTTGGCAGTGTCAAAGCAACTGATACGAAATACAGAAAAGGAGAAGCTCCATGCTGTCAACAGTCAAGAGTGTGAAGTACTCATAGAGAGGTGGTTATCTGATGAATGCCTAAATGCTCTTGTCACCTTCTTTCAGAGGAAATCAAAACTGTAATCTTTACCAGCAGAGCACTTAATGTTCTGGAAACAGCAATTCACCTTCTGGCAATAGTCTTGTCTGCCCTTATCCTTAGAAAGCTTTCTCTGCAAATAATAATTCTTTTACCTTTTGATGCACTATATTTCTATACAGAATACTGGGTTAAAACTGTTTCATGAAATTAATGCTGTGTTATGTGCCTTCGATCCATTATGGTTATTTAAATTAGGGGAAAAGATTCATTTTCCTGCAGGCAGCAGTGGTGTTTCTGAATAGTACTAAAGTAGATTGTCACTTGAAAGAAGCAGCAAATTCAATAGCACTGTATTTTGGTAGCTTTTCAATGTCTTACAAGTGATTCTTTTTCATCTGTGGGGAAGAAAATGCTGTATTGATGAAAAATAAATACTTATATTATATTTAATTAATCTTGTGCTGATTATTACTATTACTGCTAAACATCCTTAGTGACAAGGAAAGTAATTCCTGGAAGTATATTAATGAAATACTCTTCTTACGAAAGTATTTACTTGTGATGTCGTGAAATAAACCTGGCAGGGACTATGGGAATCTTCTTAATGTTGTTGTTATTTTTAACACTAAAGTATATATGTATTTTTTATTTGAAGAAGGTAAGAAATCTTCCTTGCTTTCTATTTATTTTCTACTTTGGTAGTACTTTAAAGGTTCGATCTAGCAAATTTGAAAGCATCCTCACAGTAAACCTATAAGGGTTATAGACATACCCACAAACAATTAAAAGTCTGTAAAATGAAACATTGCTGATGAAATTTGCCCACTGTAAACACTGTAGTTTTGAAGGATTAGGAAGAAAAAATCTGATACGGAAAAAAAGTGGGTCTTTCCCAAGTCAACTCCAAACTGTTTGATAATGGTTTTCTAACACACAGAACTCTGTTCTTTTTCTTTCTTGTCATTTTGTTTGAAGATTTAGCGCAGCCTAGAATATACATGATGCCTCTGCAACATTTCTCAGAATCTACTATACAGTGTGGGAATCACAGTCTTAGCTGTGCAGCTTAATTGCAATAATGCAAAAGAAAATTATTTCTACTTAAAAATTATTGTTTCTTTGACTTTTCCCTAATTGTCTTTCAGGAAAAGAAAAGCAGTCATAAATATATAAACACCATGCTTGAGTACCAATAGTGAAACTTATAACTGAAATATTTTTGCTCATAAAAATTATGTTGTGTGAAATACAGAAAGGAGTAAGATATTTAGTTATTGGATGTATTTCAGTCTAGATAATCAGCAACACCAGTAAAATGTAAAGTGTCTGCAGTGCACCTTACATCAAATCCTTTAAGCTCCGTATCTTCTTCAAACTGTTTGGTTAGGTTATAATCTCTTAATGATAGGAGAAAAGAGCAAACCCCTGAAAGCACGGCACTGCAATGAGTGAAACACTGTTACTTTATTCAGATGGATGACATACAAGTTTCTGTCTCATCAAAAAAGCAAATTATTAGACAGATTTTACTAGGAAATAGTTGTATTTATAGGCTACAAATTGAGGCTTTCTGCTTATGATATTGCTCAACAGTACTTCTAGCCTTCTGTCAGAGACAATCTATCAGTGTGCCACGACAAGGTGGTGTTGTAAGATGTCCTGTAGCTCCATATCTGGAAACATTCCACTTTGGGGTGACAGAATTGAGTAAATTTCACTGCGTTGATTATGGTTAGTGTTGTACCAAGAAGAAATGTTTCAGTGGTGCTAAAAACAAGGACTTCAGAATAAATCTAGGAACCAAGTAACAATTCAGGGAAGTAAATCTTGATGGTTCCAAGTACATGAAGAGTAGGGAACATGATATTATAGAGCCATTCAGGTTGGAAAAGACCTCTAAGATCATCCAGTCCAACCACCAGCCCACTAACCATGTCCACGTGTGCACTGAGCAGTGTTTCAGATAAAAATCGAATCAGCAATGCTGAGGGGCAGCAAGGGCTGGCAACAAAAGAAAGCTGAGGAAGAGTACAAGACTCTTCAAGAGAAGCTTCATGATGGCAACGATGGACTGTTGTCAAGAAACAGGCCACAAAGGGGACACGGGCTCACACCCCGCTCGCAACATGGCGGACGTAGGCTCAGGGTGGCTGCCCACAACATGGCGGACTTCGGTTCAGGATGGCTGCCCACAACATGGTGGCCGCGCCGAGGGGCGGCTTGCTCTGCAGGGCACAGCGGGCAGGTAGGACGGGTTCAGGGCCGCCATGGCGCCGCGGCTCCGATAGGGGGCACCCTCCGCCACATTCATGGTGAAGTGTGAGGTTCGGAGCGGGGCGCGAAATGGCTGCCGCTGTGTGGAGGCTGAGGGCTGCAGCAGCCGGCAGGCTGGGAGGAGGAGCGGTGAAGGTGACGTGCGGCTTGGGGCTGGTAAGGTCTTTGAGGCTTGTGGGAGGGCAGCTGTAGGAGCACGCTGTTCACGTGTTGAATCATCGAAACATCAACTCTTGGGATTTCTCTGTGGTGGCAAATTAGCCGCAGTTACGTTGTTTGCCCAGCTGGGGATAAACAGTTGTTTGTTCAGTCTCTGAAAGCTCTGTGCTGCTCCATTAAATTGAGCCATGGCATCAGCTGTGGAGAGGATGTGTGCCATGTTGTTGTTCTCCACAAGGAAGAATGCAACAGTTTGCAACGTGTTGATGGCTGAAATAGCAGAAATGGGGCTTCCTTGGTCAGTTGCCAGGGTGTCACGTTCAGTAATGGAAGATGAACACTGATTTTGTAAGGAATTAGGTCTGTTGAGTTGGGTTTTTTTGGTTGTTCTTCTGGTTGTTTTTTTTTTCTCTCCTGACTGAATAATGAGAATAAATCACCATTACTTCTAGGGAATCATACTTCCTAAGTAACTTTGGTTTTACAAAAAATCAAATCATTCATACAGTTTGTCACAGGTCTGCCTGGCAGCATCTGCAGCCTTTTCTGGGCACTCCAGAAGCATCCATGAAGAAGCCTGATGAATCCCTTCCAACAATTTCTGTTTAACCCATACAACGTAGTAACAATTTCTGACAGACCTGCAGTATTCATTGATCGTACTCATTATAATCATTACTGATGCAATATCTGTCAAAGATGGAGCACTCTGCACAGAAAGCCGTTGTGAAGCGTGGATGATAGGCTATACTGTTGTATCATAAACGAATCAGGACATTCATAGCACATCATAATGTCAGTTCTTCTGTTTATAACACTGCGTTTATAGATTGGTTGCAAATGTGGATGTGTACTGTTGAATGCTGGTGGTAGATAGCGTTTAGCTGATATTGTTTTAATTAATGAATTACAGTTGAATACATCTGTGATAGCAGCTCCTCACCTGGAAGTTTACACAGCATAGGAAGATGTAATTCTTGAGGCGTGTTGGACTCGTGAGCTGGCAGCAAAGCCTGCAGGGCTCTGTGAGGTGAGTAGTTTGGAGGCTGCAGAAGGCTGGAATGAAGGTGGAGATTGCTGCTGTACTCTTGTGTGTAACTTCAGAATTAAACCATTAATCTGTACCGCAGAAAATTCAGGAATATCCTGTCAGGCAGAAGCGGGGGTGCACAGAGCTTTGCACCCTGGGCTGAATGTTCTTTCCTGGGCCTTTCAAATGAGCGTTTTCATGCGTGCAAAGTTTACATATACCTCTGTTGTGTCAGAGACACAGTGTGCTACCAATGTAAATGAAGTAAGGTTTGTAGGAGCAGGTGCTGTCCTTTGTTAGAATAGTTTGTGTTGTGTGAAAAATAGAACCTTTCTGGCGTGTATCTGTTTTCTCATATGGCCTTCAGAAGTACACTCCTCTGTTTCCCAGCTAGAATAGTTTCGTAGGAGGTATTTCTCCCTAAAATCCTCATCTTTTTCAAGTGGAGACATGATATTGCAGAACTCTCAGAGTTCCCATGGAACTGTTGCCAGACTTGATGTCATAGGAAAGTAAGAGTAGCACAGGTAGATTTAGGCCAGAAGAAATTAGCTATCCTGTTTTATTCCGTATTCTTTGTACTCATTCTGAAACATGCCACTGATATTTAAATAAAACTGACTTTCCTTGCTTCAGCTATGTCAAAATACCAAGAAGGAAGAAACGTGTTGTATTTGGAAGGAGGCACATTGTGAAAGCGGTATTGCTGTGAACAAGTGAAATAATTTTTTAATAGTTAATGAATAGTTACTGTCGTAGCCTGGAACCAGCGAGGCTGCAGGTGAAAGCAAGGCATGCAGAGGCACGTCAGCATTCTGTGGCATTAAACATCAACAGATAATTATGTATGCTTACATGTTCTCTAATTGGAGTGCTCAGAGGGTATTTTATTCCTTGAGATTTTAATTAAAGTTAAGAAAGGATACTTGGGAGGTAACAAACATATATTAAAGCAAAAGTCTTTAGTGTTTTCTAGATCAAGAGTTACTTTGTACTACAGTTGCACCTGAGGATGCCTGTAGCTATGTAGGCATTCTGTGCATTAACTCTATTCCTAGTGTAATGTCTTCACTAAATTGTGCTCCACCATCAGTTTTTCATTGTTAAAAGAGTGGTATACAGCAGAGAGGGGAATTTGGTTTTGGTTGTTCCTCTCCTCTCCCCTCTTTTCATACTAGGCTCTCTCTTCCAATATAGTTAAGAGCCTAGAACTGTGCTAACCATGTCTACACCCTAGAGTACAAACAGCATGATCTTAAAGGTCCTTTCCAACCCAAACTATTTTATGATTCTGTGATCCTGTGCTAATCTTAAGCAGACACCAGTAGTAATCTCCTGGTCAGAACGACTGGTGTGTTTTTTCCAATAGTAGAGATGAAGCCAGTATTTCCAGCTTTAAGCCCTCTCTGTTTCAAAAGGTAGTGTTGAGTTACACAACGGTAACACGGAGGGCAGTCTTTTAGCAGGAGAAAATAACACACGTGAGAATGAGAAGATAAATGATGGTTTGCCATCATCTCTAAAGTAGGTGTTCAGGTCCATGGATTTGAATTTAGAAACCATAAACTGAAGAACTAATATCCAGATGTGGAAAGGAAATATTCCTTGGCTCTACTTCCCCCACCATTCGTTAGTCTTTTCAGAAGGCAGACGGTGACCTTTTCGAAACAGGATAACCACAAGACAGGCTTTGATCTTTCCCCAGAAGGCTCTGATGTGAAACTGTTCTCTCATCTGCTAAAGATGGAAGGATTGCAGCATCTGAGTACATTCCAGGAGAAGACCAAGACCTCACAGCTTCTCCTCTGATGGTAGTCAGCCATCAGCATATTTCTTCAAAGGCCATGCATCAGGGCTCTCAGTCTCCCTGCCTTCAGACAGCTTTTAATCAAGAAAAAAACGTAGCTCTGTACATATGAGCAGAACTGTTCAAAACGCGTTTGCCAGTGCTGAGGGGCAGACAGGTGCATAGCGGAACACCCACTGCTAGCAGTTCAGTTGTGAGGGAAGTTTGAGCATCACGCAATAGTCCGTGGAACTCTTGGATGCCCAGAGTTTTAAACTCAGGCTATGTGCTCCTGGGGAGGCGTTCCTCTTGCTCTGTTGCTGAACCAAGCCGCTTGAGCAACTTCAGAGTTACAGCAGCAAATGTAACTGCTGCTGACTCTTGCTGAGAGGAAGGTGGCACTGGAGGTGATCAGGAAAGGACCAAATAAAACCTCTTTAGAAAGAGCTCATTAATGAGTAAACGTTTCTCAAAAAGGCAGGATCTCTCTCTTGCCATGCCAAAGCAGAAATACTTCTGCAAAATAAGAGATTCTTGATTCACTTACCCAATAGGAGTGAGTCTCATTCAGCACTATTTTAGTTTAGTTTATACATTAGGTTACTGTTTTCTTATTGTTTAAAAGTGATGGGAAACAGCTTGAGGGTTTTGAGTGCAACTTTGTTATCTGAAACAAAAGTAATCATATTTCACTTGTTTTATTTGCCAGGATTTTGAGATATTTTGTAAGACCTCTTTATAAGCAAGCCAGCACATAACTGTCTTCCAAGGGGGTTTTCCTTACTACAATTACTGCTTTTTTTTTTAACCTCCAAATGTTTGTAAAACAGTAATAAAATGTAGTGTGTAGACTGTGTGTTAATTACAGTTGTATTATTTAGTGTAATTATGTAAAAACACGTTGGAATTAATTAGATGCAGCTTATGGATCACAGTCCAATTTTCCAAAACTGATGTGGCCTCAAAGATTTTCAGACTCATGTGGAATTACTCGTATTTGCCTTCATATGAATAAATTGCAAGATAGCTTACTGATAGCTCTGGCTCTTTGCTTAGACTAAGTAATAGATGGCGTTGTAATGGATACACGCGTGGTTAAGTAAACAGATTTACATCTGCCTCTTGGAATTGAGGACTAGAACGTGTTCCTGAGGACTGCTGGATTTTGGAGGACAACGATGACAGTTCCTAGAAGACTTCTTTAAACTTTGATGGGAGGATTACATATTTGAATTCACCTTTTTGTTTATTAAATGGTTGTATCAATTAAGTATTCGTTTAAACTGCATTAATTTATCTGTGCACACAGCCTTCCTAAATACATGAGCCTCCCTATTTTTTAAAATTCAGCTGTTCCTTCAGGTTTCCATGTCTTCAGTAAAATATCTTCAATTGCTCCTGAGCGTGTGTAATTACTGCATAATTTACCACATTGTAAGAAATTTTTAAGAAAAAAAAACCCTTGATCTAGGCATTTGAGATTCCATTGTAAGCATAGTCTTTATGAACAAAAATATATGAATTTCTTGTGAATAGAAATGGATTTATATGTTAGCATTAATGAGCTAGTAAGGCAGTTTGGGTCAGGTCATGAAATCACCTCTTCCCTGTTCTGTCACGGCGCTTGGGTGTTCTATAAACACTGGGAACTCTTTGCTTAAATTTACAATGCTAGTTCATTGGAAAAAAAGTTTTGTTTAATTTAGGCCTTCTGTGGAAAGAAAATAGATAGACGTTATGAGTGTTGCAAAATTAATGTAAAATCTCCCATAAAGAGTGACTGAATTACAATTTCCTGAGTGTACAAGGTCGTTCTAAGGAAGAGTGACCACAAGGAAGCTCTTGTTCAGCCCTGATGAAAAGTCTTCATTCAAGAGTACGAATGGAACAATGGCTCTACCTGATCTGGACAGTAAATCCAGAGTGAGCTTGGTAAAAAAGTGTTTGAAATTCGGGGTCACCTTATGGATGTCTGGTAGGTACGGTAGTGAAGGTATGAAGGTGAGCTTGGCTTTAGATGAGAACTTTGTTCCTGTGGAAAGAGCATAATCTAAGTATAGGGGTGTTCTCTACAGAGTGTCTCATCCAGATGATGTTTTAGGATGAACTTTATTTTAATATAGGAAATAGATTTGTAGAATACCTGAACTTGAGGTGCATTTAGATATAGTAAATCTTTTATATATAGCGGGGGAAATTCATCTTCTTTGTTGGAGAACAAGCTTTAGAAGCAAAGAATCATAGAATATCCCATGTTGGATGGGATCTGTAATGATCATCAGGTCCAACACTTGGCTCTACCACCCAAAAATCAGACCAGTATTTGCCTCGGTCCTCCTTCCATCAGACGTCAGGTAACTGAATACGTTCGTCCTCACAGTGCCCGATGTTGTGGAGGTTGAGTGGTAGCCTCACAGAGGTGCTGTATATCTACAGCCATAGGTAAATGGCAAGGGTTTACTCAAGGAGTCCCACCAGAGGTCAGTGTGAGCAACAGCCATTGTGACCATTGGAAATGGCACAAGGCGAAGCCCACGCTCATGTCCTGCGGGTTTCTGCACCGAACGATGGGAACATATGGAGCTCCTGCAGGTGCTGAGCCAGGGAGTGTTACAGGGAGCAAAGTGGAGAGAGGCTGTGGTACCCTTAGAAAACTGGATATAAAAAATGTACTGGATATATAAAAAAAGGTACTCTCTCCTAGTTTCTTCCACAGTAGGTTTTCTATGTTTTTTATCTTTATGTAGGTTTTGCCTTTTTCAGAAGTTGAACACAATTGTATTGCAATTTTGCTGTTTGTTGGAACTGTTTCCCTCTGAAGTAGGCTCTTCAAGGCTGTTTTGAAGAACCTGTTGGTAGTACACAAGAACAAGATTAAGGGTGCTTGTCAAATTCACCTGCTTTGTGAAAGGAATCTGTGAGGGATGCTCCCTAAGAAACAACCTCAGAGGCAGATGTTGGTGGTGTGGCAGTAGAGGTTGGAGCTTCCCACAGTGCTCTGTTACATTTTGTTGCAGTGTAACAGGTGACAGCAGAGGGGCAGCCTGACAGAATGGTGTCTGATATGGAAGCCTGTATGAAGCAAAGGTGTATCTCTGAATTCCAACACGTGGGAAAAAAAGGCACCCACTGACATTCACTGATGCTTGCAGAGTGTTTGTGGGGACCAACCAGTGGATGTGAGCACAGTGAGGCGGTGGATGGTGCGTTTCAGCAGCGGTGCTAAGCAGTGTTTTTGCGTTCTTTGTATCTGTTGTAGTTTCCATGGAAATATGGAGGAGGCATTACTTTCAGTGCATCCTATGGAAAAGTACTGGTCTCTGCTTGGTGGCCTTTTGAACAAATAGTAACAAATCTCCTTTCCACTCACTGACACACTGACATAATGGCATCTAGCAAGGCTGCACTGCAGTATTATTTGTGATAATTGCACAACACTGTGGGTATTTTGACTGAGAAATCTGGCTTCAAAGTGCAGCTTGCAAGTACAATTTAGATTGTGTTTTATATGCATAACCAACATCTGGATCTAGATCCTTTGACTGACAGTGAATACCAGAAGCCTGGGAGTTAATAGTCGGATTTAGTGTCAAATACAGGCGTTGTCAAAGAGTGCTGAACTCCACTGTGAGGAACCACATCTCCAAGCCTTTCCAACCTAAAAGTGTCAAGGGATGCCTGTGCTGGAACACAGAAGTGTAGCCACATCCTGTACTAGCAAAAGGATGGGTTAGCAGCAGATACGTGGGGTGAAGAATACTAAAGAATAGTAATTTAAAAACGGTGCATTGGTTGTGCTCTCACTTGAAAAATAACGCTTCTAAGAGTGAACCATGAACAGTTATAAAGCAATCTGTGGCTGTGTCCACCTCTGCCTGGATTTCTTGCATATTTCTGGCCAAGATTGCCTCAAAATCTGGAATTTACAGGGCACCCTGCTATGCCAACAGAATCATCAGTAAACTGCTTGGAATATCTTTATGTATTCTTTTTCAGAAGCCCAGGAAACTGCTGAGAAATTATGATTTAAGAAATTGGATTGAGACAGAGAACCATTTTGCCTGTGATCACAGCTGATGAGGACTGTAATTTAAAAAATACAGGAAAAAATAAAGTCAGATTTTTTATGGACTTTTTGCAGAGAAGCAGTGAAAAGCAGTGATAGGAATTAGTATGGAGAAGCTGCATAGCCCAATATGTTAAATATTTTTTGCTGTTTTTGGATGAACACGATACAGATGTCTAGGAGAGACACTTGGTAGTATCTGTTCTATACCCACGTAACGGGCATTAAAATATTCACTCCATCTCTATTCACCAAGCACTGCTTCCTCCATTTGAGTACCCTCACCTTCTTTCTCATCCAAATGCATCTACAGATAGATATGTCTTCCCTTCAGTGTAGCACAGTGTTATTCTTTTGTCCCTTAACTAATACAGGCTTGGTTTAGAATGAATAAACACAGGCATGGGGAAATCAAACCGAAATACACAATTTATTCAAAACCAGCAGGCAGCCAACTTCTCAAAAGCCAACAGCTCCATTTTATGCCTATTGAAGATGATTTTTTTCATAGATATGGGATTTCTCAATAAAAAGACCACTGGAACACTCAACAGGTGAATGTTCTGCAGGTTGCCCATCAACACTAAGCTGCCTGAAAAGGTATCTCTGTGTCCTCCTTCATTTATGCTTTTCCAGGCTCGCACACAAAAAGTTTATGGAAGAAATTCCCTGCCTTCTGTAACCAGTGATGTAAAGCCCAGGTGTCAGCCTCCACTTATAGAGGCCAGTCGTGTTACCAACCAGGCAGCTCATTATCTCATCTCTTTCAACTATTCTTCAAAAAAATTAATGGCTGTGCCACAGCATCCCCCAAGTCTTTAATACATCTGATACCTAAAGCAGACAGCACCATGCAGAAATGAAATGGTATCTTTCAAAATTCTAAACAAACGTGTTTAGAAGCTTTGCAAAAGTAAATTTGTGAACACAACAGAAGACGAGATGCAAGTAAGTTTAAGCATACTTTATTAACTTCAAGCAGCAGCCACTTGCCAACATTCTGCACAGTTACAATCTGACACATGCTGTAGAAGATTGCTTTATCTCCAGTAGTCTCACAGACTGGTCTGCCTTCTGTGTACAGGTCAATATACATATAAAGGTTCTTCAGAGGTTTATTGCCACTTACCCTATGTATGGAGATAAAGTATTATTAAAAAAATTCTACAGGAATCATTACATTCAATCAAAGGCTTTTGAACAGTTCCTATTTTTTTTTAATTAAAGCAGTATACATCATAGTAATAAAAAGACAATCTAACTGCATATTTAATTTGTTTCAGTGCAAAAAGAAGGAAAAAAAGAGCATTTAATCTTCCAAGGAGTTTGAGTTAAATGAATACAAAGGGCTGCTATCTTCTTTAGTTTGCCAAACATTCTGAAAAATCATATTAAACATGTGGAGTTCCTTGTCACCACGAGGGAGAAGCAAGCAGAAGCCAGCAGACTTAACTAGACTTTATGTAGGACCTCAGGTGAAGATGAAAAGTATATCTTAGTGTATAGGAGGAAAAGATAAATTATCCTCTTAGGTCAGCTGAAAAGTAGTTCAGCAAGAAAACCATGTTGTCTAACTGCTGTGTTTGTAGCAAGCTGCAACCACTGGAATTCAGATGACTGCTGTGGCCAGCAGCAGCCTCTCTGCTATCCTCAGAGGCCACAGGAACAGGTGTTGCCCCAAACTGGAAACGTTTCTTAACCGTGGTCAGGAGGTTTTCACTTCTAGAGGCTTTTGAAGCCAGAATTAAAGATTTTCGGTTGCAGCCAATACAAGAGCTGAAGGCTGGGAGTGGATGGAAGACTGAAACCCACTTGTTTTGAATAATGCCTGTCAGCTACTCCCTGCAGCAACAGATGTGTTTGGCAGAACGAGTAAATCTGCTGAACTTAAAGAAAAAAAGCGCATCATCTGCTTAAATCTTTACCAGTTAAAAGTGTTCATTTTAACCAAATGAACAGTGTTTAACCAAGTCAACAGTGGCAGACTTTTCTGAATGACAGGTCTTGTACTGATCGTTCTATGAAAACTGCATTAAACAGCAATGCCTACCTGCCTGCATTTAATCACAATAAGAAAAAAATCTTAAACCAAAAATGAAACAAGCATATCAGAATTAAAAAAAAATTGTAATACAGTTAATATGTCTCAGGAATTAATACCGTAGCAGTGTTAATTCTAAATTGGGATGCTAGAAACCAAAAGATTAAGACAGAAATGTATGAAGAGTATTTTTCATATCTTTTATAGGACAGAAACCTTTGTTCATGTCTTCTGGTAGTCATCATCTTCTTTTGAGCTGCACCTACAACACAAAGAACAAGTGAACGAGCAACTTTACGCTTCTCCAGAACAGCTTAAAACAGTTCTGTAGGTATTAAGGTGCATTTTCCTACTGCTTTGTTTCTGCATCACCAACTCATTTGTTTCACATTCCTATTTTAAGAATAAAGTACAAAGCATCAGCAAGAATAAGCTGCTAATTCCTGTGTAAAACTGCCCTCAGAAGCTCTGCCTATGTTGTGAAAGTGCAGGTTTCTTTCTGCAGTTAACAAGCAGACAACTACTGCTTCATTAAACGTGAAAGCTGAATTTACTTCTGCTACAAACAAGATACCTTAACATGTGGAAATAAGGACGGATTATTTCTTATCAAGAATTTTACAACTGAGGAGAGACAGGTGGAAGGTTCCAAATAGCTTACAAACGACCCATCTCCTGCCTGTTTTTGTAGTTAGGCCATTACATCTCCTCGGTGGGGTATTCCCCACCAGCAGAATGACTGCTTTGCCTCATTTTTCCATTCCTGCGTGCACTTCGCGGAGTGCATGACTGTTGTCATTTACGGACCTAGATGGATACAAAAACCCTTCTTAGTTCAAATAAGTGTTATAAAATAAGTGAAACCAGTGGGTTTATCACAGGTTTTCAGAATATATTGATCAAAAATGTAAAGAGGAACCTCTTAATAAGAGTAGTTTAGAACAGCAGTAAGGATCTGAAAAGTCTGATTCTGTTTTTCTCTTGTTGTATAACCAATTCAAATGTTTCAAGCTGTTTTTAACTTGTTGCTAAATGTTTATCTACACATGCTGTCAGAAATAACCTTGTTAGGAAGGTGAAGTTGGTGTCTCAGCAAATCAGACCCCATGGAGTAGGCGTTGAGTGGCCTGTGACTCGCTTTCCTTTTTCTCTTTCAGCACCATCAAAAGGAAAAGTGAGAAAAACAGCACAAACATTAGTTAAAGCCTGAATTTAATCTCACGTCCTACAGGAATAATTTCATTACAATGAAAGCAGACAGTATCTGTAGGGTTTTTGGCTTTCTTTTCGTTTAAGCAGTGATAATTATATATCTAATTAATATAGCCTATAGCTCTTCCAAAGATCATAGCTTTTAACAATCCTTTTAATTAAATGATTAATAGAAAAGGCAGGGGTGGTTCTTTACAAATTACCTGATTTACCATCACTGAAGACAGATTCTTTTAAAAATGGCTACAAATGCCTTGTTCACAAAAGACTTTATTATCTAATGATGCATACTGAAAACATACAGAAATCTGCATGGTCCACTTTACATGCAGCAGAACAATCTTCACTTTACAATAAGTAAGTGTCAACTGTTTTATGCAAGGAGACAACACTTTAAAGTCACATTGTTGTTTTTAAAGAAAAGCTTCATTTACAAAAGAAATAAAAGGTAAAGAAGCAATTACCGCTTTTAAAAAGCAGCTGCTTTGTTCAAGAGTGGAAGGTTTATGCCTGTATTGAAAGACAACATGATCACAAATAATGAAAACAATGAAAACAAATGAAACACTTTTAGCATAAAGCAGTACACTTTCAAAATGACATACAAATAGTTAAAAAGTTTCCTTATGTGGTCTATCTATCCTTTAGATATAAGTTCTTTCAAATGAGATCCCAACGTATGTAATTACTAAATGAAAACTCTTCCGTAAGTATTGGCTCTATGTCATAGTGAACTGTATTTAACAAAATGTATACAAAGTCTATAGCAAGTTGATTAAAAAAATTAAAGTAATAAGAAACAGTACACTGAAGGCGCTCTATCCATCAAGTGCGCGCTCTCAAAATTGTAAATGTGATGAACAGAACGGAAGTTGTAACTATGCCACAGTTGCAATGCCAGAAAATAAAAACAAGATCATTTATCAAACATGCAGGGAATTCTGCCACAATGCTACTGTCTCTCATTTGTCAGTTGTTCCAGTAAAATAACAGCTTAAACACCGGTGATGTTGATGGGTTAGCTTACCTTCAGTGTACTGAAAGTTGTACACAACCTGCTTTAAAAGAGGAGACCATCCCTGCAGGCAGGCTCAAGAAGGAACAGACCCCCTTCGGCACTGACTACACCAAGGGCATGCTGCTGTGGCCTGCACACACACACCTAGGAAAATGTGAATATAAACAGCATTTATGCTGGCCATTTTTTAAAGACAAAAATGAAGCCAAGTCTGCTAAAAACAAATCAACCACCCAGTATTACTGCTCTTTTTTTTTTTTTTTTTAAACAGATGCTTTTTTTCTTTTTTATAATATATACGAACTGCAACCATATACATTAGCATTGTACTTCTGTGCAGTCTTGGCAATTAAAACAGTTCTACAGTGAAAATTTTCACATAAGACACAAAACAGAATTACTCTAACATTTCTAAAAGAAATATCAGCCTTGACGTTAATTCAAATGTATCTTTTCTTCCTCAACTTTGCAGGGCAAATATTTATGTTTATATACATTAATAACTGCTGTGAAATTTCTTCAGTCTTTGTATCTTAATTACTCAAACCCTTTGAACTTCTTCATCTGGTTTAAATTTTTTCCTGGATGAAGGCGTGCTGCAGAGCCTGGTTGATGCTAATCCGTTTAGCTGGATCTAACATTAGGATCTGGTCCAACAAGTCCTTCAGCTGGTGTACTTTTTTACGCTGGTCTTCTGGGAGTCGCTGGCACCCAATCAAGTCTGCTAACAGGTCCTTAGTTGGATTAATGGTGCTCATTACAGTAACTTTCTCCTACAAACACAAAAATGGCAACCTTGTACAACAGTGGAAATACACAAAACCGCCGTAATTCTTACACCGCTTAAGCAGCTATTTTTTGCAGGGTTTTCTTATCTCTCATCAGCAATGCTCTTCTTCATCACATGGGCTCATAAATACTCATGGCAGGCAAAGGAAAAGAGCGAATATAAAACACTGGGGCAGGCCAGACTGCATCTTTTGCTGGCAGCTAATTGTATCTGATGTTCCAGTCCAGGCCAACTGCCTTTTTTCCTGGTACTGGGCACGACTGAAGAGACTGGCTTCATTTCACTGCACCCTCTATTCAGGTATTTATATGTATTAATAAGATTCCTCGCCCCTGCCTTCCTGTCTTCCAGGCATAATAGTTGTTATTCTCTCAGCCTTTCCTCACAGGAGAGTTACTTTAGTCCTCTGATCATCTGGGCCCTATGCAGAGCTCTTTCGAGTATGTACAAGTTTCTCTTGTACAGAGGAGCCCAGGACTGGACACAGTACTTCAGGTGTAGCCTCACCAATTCTGAGAAGAGAAAGATCAGGTGATCCTTCTTGACCTGCTGGCAAAAACTGCCTAATGCAGCTGAGAATAACACTAACCTTCTTAATGGCAAGGGCACACTGCTGGCTTATGGACAACTTGGTACCTATTAAGACCCCAGGCCCCTTCCTGCAGAGCTGTTTTCTGGCTGGGTGTACTGGTGCCCAGGGCTGCTCCTTCCCTAGTATGGGACTTCGTACTGCCCCTGCTGAATATCATGAGATTCAGGCCAGCCCACACCTCCAACCTGCTGAGGTCCCTCTGGATGGCTGTTTTGGCCCTCTAGTGAATTAGTCAGCCCCACCACTGCTGTGTCACTGTGCATTTACTCAAGGTGCAGTCTACCCCACCATCCAGTCCATAACCATGTAACCTGCGTACACCCCTGCTAAATGACATTCTGATAGTTTACAAAGTTTTGTTTGTAATTAAAATGTTAAGGTATGTTTGAAAGACCAGTAACAACAGACACGTTAAGGACTTACCCTTTCTGTCACTTTATCTACTTCTATATACATAAAGTTGAGATTTTGATCAAAGTGCTGATCTTTGAACACACCTTTTCGAATCATCTGGAAAATCAGGGAAAGACAAGAATTTTAGCTAAGCTCTCTGTGTTAATGAATTTCACAATTAGCATCAACATCTACTAACTGGGAAAACATGAATAACTTACTATTTCTGAATTACTTATCAAATAACTATGCTGAATAAAAAAATAACATTCAAACCAGTTGAAGAAGGACATAATACCTTCCACTGACTTACACTTTTTTTTTTCAGGTCTGTGCCATAGAAGGTTTCTGCTTTCACTTTACACTTAGTCTACGAAAAAGAAGCTGTATACTTTCACTTCATATAATTTTAAATTAATATAAATTATACATTCAGAGGATATCTGATATATACTTGCTGTTAAGAGATGTATCTGATAAAGAATTTCAGGGAGAAAACAAAGTATGTTTCACTGTTCATAACAGCAGTTTCAGATATCAAGTTAAAATCAAGTACTTATTTTTCTTACCTTGTTTGGCATCTTTCCTTTGAGATCCATGGCTAGTTTCAACATATGGTTATTGGTTTTGCCAGGAAAGAGTATTTTTCCTGTATAAAGTTCATATAACGTGCAGCCTACAGACCACATATCTATACCATAGTCATAGATTTTTCCTATAACTGAAACAGAGCAAGTCAAGTTAATTCCATAAAGGCAGCTTTGAAGACAATACCACAAAACCAGACAAATAAAAAAAGTCTGATTTAGAAATTCTATCGGTGCTTCTCCTCTTAGGAATAAGAAGGTGAACAACTGAAAGATTTTTCACTTTTACAGTATCCCAATTACAGAAAGGGAGGTTTTTACCTAACACCCAAACTGATCACCACAGCTTCATTTAGACAAAGTCATAACAGTACCCCTGCATCAAAGCAAAGCTATAACCCATCAGAGTGACTGCATGTTCTCACTGAGCTGACCGCCAGCACGCATGAAGAATCATAAAACATGCTTTCAATTGGCTGAATTTTTTGACTGCCATCGTATTTTCAGAGTGATGGTTTGCTGAGATCAAACAAAGAGTAATCTCAAATCAAACCTTCGTTTGCCTTACTGATACAGCCTGCTTAATTGTACTCAATCCAAATGCACTTACTGATTTCAGGAGCTCGGTAAAATCTACTGACTAGATACGGCGTGATGTCGTTATCTGCAACATGGGAAGCTGATCCAAAATCACAAAGCTTTAATATCGTTTTAGATTCATTCACCTGAAAGTTAAACATAAGTGAATATTAGCACTATCTGTACACAGAATTGGCAACAGCACTTACGACTAACACTGTAAGAAAAACATTCAGCCTTGAAGTTACGGTTTCTTCCCATGTTTCAGTCTGTCTTTGCATTCTAAGAAAACTGTCAAACCTTAAACTGAAAGTGAAAGTTAATACCTGCACATCTAAGAAATACAAAGAAGTCAGTTTCATGTATTTATTCTCCTACAGATTTTACTAGGCTTTTTTTTCTCACTATTAATTCTTTATTGCTGCAGCAACAGTGAATATTTTAGAAGCAGGGGGAAAAAAAATAAACTCTCAGCATAACTTAGCAGCTTCCATCAGTAGAAGTGTTAAAAGCTAAACAGAAAATACGCCCAGAATTAGCTTTCAAATTAGCTTTCTTTGTCTGCACAGACACTAATAGTGACATCTCCCATTGCTTTGGAGATTTGTGGCAAGACACTAACTGAAAGGCACAGAAAGGATTACATATGCATTAATATACATTAGCATCTATTTAGAAAATAACACAAACAACAAAATGATCCCACACACATACATCCAATTACTTTCTAAATGGGTAGTAAATACAGCACATAATTTGACACAGTGTCCATATAACTCCTCCAAGGCAATAGGGCATCAGCTTTGCTTTGCCTCATGCGACTTGGTACCAGAGCTAGCTGGAAAGCTAATCCCTCAAGCAGCCACTAAACACTACCTACCCCTAAATAAGTCAAGTTAGAAACGTGTATAGAGAGAATAGAGAATACCCAGCTCAAGATCAGTCCAGAATGTGAACAAAGACATGTCAAACATCAGTAAGGAACATGTGAGTCACTTCTGTGTTGTGATCTGAGGCCAAACATGTCGGGTGAAGAGCAGCCCTAAGAACAGAACTACTGCATTCAGCTTCATAAACTGGATAGTTACTTAACATGAACCAACAGCCTTATTACCAACATGAACACAAGTCTGCTTGGTGTCAAATTTAGTTTTGAGAAGGAAATATAAGCCTCCCTGTCAGATTCCTGATTTATAAGCCATAAGAAAGAAACTTCAGTACACCCTAATGTAAACAACTGCAAGAAAGTGAAAGTATGCTGCACCTTAGAACAGAATGCAGAAATTTCTAAGAGATGAAGGGAACTGTGCATAAATTGAACATGTAGCAGTAAGAAACTTAATTTTTAAATGTAAAATATCTAGACCAAGATGTATGTAGTATGTAGTACTATTTTCAGTAAATCTTGGATATGTTAAAGACTTCCCATTGTGAAAACAAATCCATTCATATTCCTTCCTGCTTCATCATCACTTTCCAGAATCTACTTGGAAAATGCTACCAGTACGTATTAGTTATTAAATCTGTTAGTTTATTTCTGTTGGTGAACAAACCATCTGGAATTCACTACAGTGATTCAGTAGCAGAACTGGAGGCCACCAGTAATATGCAGTGTTCACAATCTCTTGGAAGTATGGAAAAATACCCTTGCTGGACCTGGATTTCATTCTAGATAACTAGATTTTTATCAGCTTAGACTTCCACCTCTACCATCCAGAGTGCCACTCATAAACTAGAGTACTATTCACATATCTCATGTTCAGCTAGTAAATTTTACAACAGCGATGGCAAGAAATCATAGAATGGCCTAGGTTGAAAAGGACCACAATGATCATCTAGTTTCAACCCCCCTGCTGTGTGCAGGGTCACCAACCACCAGACCAGGCTGCCCAGAGCCACAAAATGGTCATTTTTAAATCTTCAATTTTATCCATAAAAACCGAAGTCAAACCATTTGATTCCTTTGATGTAGCTCTCACACTCTGCTAAGCAGAATGTTTCAAGGGGAAAACAGCACAGTAAGGACTTCTTCAGTCATCTTATTCAAATGAACAAAATCTCCTCCCAGCCTTAACCAAACTATTGTCATTTTTTCATTCTGTAGAAACAAGAACATTTTTCAGGTACTGGTGAAAAAAGTCCTAAGACTTCTCCTAATAAAGAATACTGTCCTTGGAAGACCTACTTTGTAAAACGGTACAAGTGGATGCAGGTTTGTGTAAATGAAATACTTCATTTACATGCTGTATTACACTTCTTTATTTATACCATTATAGCTTTTTTTCCCCAAAACATTAATTTTTTAACATTCGGAGGTAAAGTGAACTTTGACTTAATTTCACATACTTGATTTTACGTTACAGAATGTCCATACAAAAGATTTTTCAATTAGTTATTACTTACCAAAATATTGTCTGGTTTAATATCTGCATGTAGGATATTGCATCTTTTAAGAAGTTTTAAAGCCAGGAACAACTGCTGGCTGTAGGAACGCACAGCTTTAATATGGAGACCAACATCTTTCCCATACTTTTTCAACACCTCTCTTAAGTTCATACTATTGTAAGAAAGAGAGAAAACAAAAGAGCTCTGTGAGGGGAAATATACTTGCCTTCTCAACTGTAAGAAAAACATGAATAAGCTTGTTAACTTCAGAAATTCTGGAGGAAAAGTGACATTCAACTTAAGATACAAACCTCACTATTTATAAAGCAGCAAAACAAAAATGCTGGTTGATCAGATCTGCACTATACCACATACTTACTAGACTGGACATAAACTTCAGAACATATTTATAATCCAGATTAATTGGAGAGAATTGATTTGCACACGAACAGCATTTTCTGAACAGCTGTGTAGCCTTTGGGCTCAGTTTCTTGAGAAGCGATTAAATAGAAAATATGCAAAAGATGGAAACCAATGAGGCAATGCTTCAATGACTTGGACAGCAGATGAAAAGACAAATCCACAACAAAACCATGACTGGGTGTAAACAGTGCACAAATGTCTTATGAAGAGACAGCACAAAGAAGCTCTATTGTCAGTAATAACCTTTATGACAAATATTAGGCACTGCATAAAACTTGCACTGCTTCAACAAATGATTTATCTTCAACTCAAACATCTATGGCAAAAATTAAAATATACAGGGAAAATTTAGGATACAAGCAATTGATACAAACAACATCTAAGCAGGAATAGGAATTAAGGCAACCAAAGTGTCTAGATCCACGATAAAGCTGTCTACAATTAGCCTGCCGAAAAATCCTCATTATTTAAAGGCAAGTTTACAGAGCACTGCAATCATCTGTAGGTTGTTGCTATATATCTGTTTGTCACAAAATATACAGTATTTGCTCAACCTCTCTGATTACACATTCTTAATCCACACCACAAGGTAAAGAATTCTGTAAATCTAGGAAGAATATTTTCACTATAAAAAGGCATTAAGAGGAGCATTAGTGAATTGAGTAATTTATAAATAATTTAATGTGATTAAATTAATAATTTATTAATAATAAATTACATCATTTCAAATATTGGCCAGGGATGGAGTTTACAACACAACTGACTATGAAAAATTTAACTAGTTCAGCAGATTTTGGATTTCTGCCTCTAGATTTTTTTTTTTTTTCAGAATTGCTTAAATTCTTCAATCTTGGCAATGGAACAAAGTACCAAACTTAAAACAGCAGTCAAGAACAGAAAGATACAGATTACTTAGTTGACTTAGTTGTACTTTACTGTTCACAAAGGACACCATACACTTGTCATCTTACCTCAGTGGTTCGAATACCAGACAGAGATGTTGTTTGTGGTAGAAATGCCTGAACAATCTCAGACAGTGAAACTTGTCATCGGGATCTGCATCATTGAGCTTCTTCAAAAATTCCAGTTCTTTTAGACCAGTTTTTTGCCTGCAAACAAAGAAATACAATTAGAAAAGAAAACAAGTGAGATTCGAGTGCCTTGTTTAAACCTTGAGATTTACCTCCGCACTTTTAGTTGTCAGTTTTAATAGTACTACATGATGTAGCACTGCTTGAAAAAACCCACAGCAGTGGTTCACTCTTGTTATGTGTCTTTGATCACCTCTGATTTTGTAACCTAGTTATTCTCCTCCCTCCTGTTTGTTTTGAAGTTACTTTACTTACACTATTTTAAAAATTTTAAACTAAACTGACAGTCAAGAACACACCCAAACCAAATCATCTTAACACACCAAGCTAGCTTACTACCTCTTTTTTTCCCCTGAATATTTCTAGGTACTATTCATATAACTCAAAATGACTCAGTTACACACAAACCAAAACAAGTTTTAAGACTTCCAGTGTAAAATGCATGGAGATTTCCATATAAGTTATCTGTAATGGATAAGTACATAATGCATGGCTGTGGCTGTTATGGCAGCAGATGCTGAAAATGAATATTGGAGATTCTGAGTCCTCACATAACATAGCACAATTTAATACAACATCACCCTAGTTAAGGGTCATTCAGTCTGGAAGACCTCCAGTGATTTTCTTTCCAATAGGCAGAGCATCACTTTCTCGTATCTTCTACACATGCGCACACATGGAGAATATGCAAAAATAATTAAATATCTTTGTCTAAGTTAGAGATGATTGACTAGTATCCAACCCACGGCTTCCCAAATGGATTTGGTTCATCAAGCCAGAATTTCACAGTCTTCGATTCCCATCTCAAAAATCTTAGGGCTGGGCAGACAACATAATCAATGTTAAGCTTATTTCTTGCCACCACTGTTCCCTGCAGTTTTGCAAATGAGAAAGTGCCTGATGAAAATGCAAGTACCCTTCTCCTGTGAGTGCGGATACATAGTCCTCAAGCGCTTCCAATTACATGGCTCATATTAGCAGAAAAGGCAGGAACCACAGCTGTAATCTGTTACTTCACTTGAAACAAAGGAAGATTCAAATCACATCATGAAAAACTTACAAAAGTCTCACATGCTTTACTATAGTATTATTAAACAAAAACATTACTTACATAAGTTCATTGTTCCTGATGATTTTAACCGCTACTTCTTGGTTTGCTCTCGCCATATCCCTGGCTCGTACTACATTACTGAAGACTCCCTGACCAGTGTAACCATAGACATTGTAACGTTTATCTAGAACTTCACCTATATTAACACCTGAAGAACAAAAATCAAGCAATTCAAGTAAGAGTTACGCATCGTACACACAATGAAACGTTATATGAAAAATAAATGGTTCTAAATCATATCAACAGTATAATCACTTAATTTCATAGCATACTAGCACCAATCTTTGTGGAAATTATGGGGAACATCAACAATTCTAAATGTGGAATTCTTCCCTTCTTGAGGTTAAAACCTGCATGCTCATTTCATCCATTACAGGTGTATTTATTTTGGCCCTTTCACCTGCAAATGAGCTTTTAACACTGACAAGTAAAACATGTTCACTCGCTCACTATCTCCATTCTGAATTCTAGGTAACAGCTACCACAAGGGCCACTATATTATCTTGGATGCCAGATTTCTTGGTTTCAGATCCTGGCAAGCATTCCTTCATTCCTCCCTTCCTTTGTGAGAGTGATCTCATGTCTGTAACTATGGACAGGTTTTAGTTTTACCCTAACCAAAATTTTATATCTAGGAGCAACTTCTTGCACAAGTGTGCAAGAACAGAAAACTGCTTTGGGCACACCATATGCAGCATGGCACTCACAGCAGAATATTCACATGACAGCGTTTCAGTACTTTTACTTTTTTCAGTTCTTCTCCATTTAGCACCCTCCTTCTTGCTACAGTTGCAACCCAGTAAATGAAACTTACGATAATAGCCTTCTGCATCAGTCCAGTTATCCCTGAGATTGGGGTTTTCTTTGAAGTCTTTTCCAAATCCAGCAGCCCTTAGACGAGCACTCTGAAACAGAAAGAACAAACGGAACAGCTTTGCCTGTGTGCTCTAGCTGTATGTTTTCTTTAATGTTTACTTATAAAAATCAGAAGTCCACATTACTGGGCACTTTTTTTCCTACTGAAACAATGCTCTTCTCCACACTACAAACACATTTATCTTGTAGGAGAAAAATACTACTGAACACACAATGCTACTTAAATACCAGCATTTGAAGACCGCTGTAAGGAAACAGAATAGGGACATCGACAGAAATATTACTAAATGTGACAAATGAGACACGTTTCAACTATTACCTGCAATGAATTTCTACAAGTCAAATTAGAATACACAGTTTGGACCATATTAAGACTTACTACTTACAGTATATTTGTAGTAATAAAGTTTAGCAATCTAGGGGGTAAATGTAACTGTGTAAGCCTCAAATTACTTTCTGTTCATTCAGTGTCACCTCACAAAATCCATACTGTTACACTTAGAATCACAGTTGCTGCTGACACTGCTTAACTGAATTGACAGTATTATCTCAAATACAAATTCATGGGTAGTAAAAAATATCTGACTGAACATCAGTTTTTGCAGAGCAGAAAGTGACTACATACAAACTGTTTAAATCCCTACTTGTTATCGTGAAGACTTTAAAAGCACCTAAACCACCACTATTCCTGAACTATTTATCTTTCTCCTTTGGTGTGTGCACGTGTGTGTAGGCTTTATTACAGTGACACCTCCTGTCAACAATCTTTCTGTGAAAACTAATAGATTTCATCTGCCATAAAGCATGGTTAACTGCAGAATTTCCATCTTAAGAAGGAACTTGTTGCCTTGACTTTCTCAGTGACTCGTACCAGTAGCAACAAGTATTTAAGGAACTGCCAAGATTAGTAAGCTCCTTCAGCACATTTTGAAAAAGCTGCTGAAACAGTGTAAGAAGTAGAAATGGGAAATGCTTCTCTTCATCCAAAAAGCCTCCACATCATTACAACACATCATGAGCAAATTAAAATACATTACACAGACTTTTAAATTAACCTTACATGAACCTCTGAAGAAGGCACACATCTCTGAAGAAAGAACAGAGCAACACAGCAGCTTTAACGTAAAAAGTTAATATAAAGTTTGTTACTGTGTGCCATGACAGCTCTCTTTTGAACAGTGGGTGAAGTACTTAATTCTTTGTTTACTCTGGCCAAAATCCTACTTGTTGCAGGTTTTCTTTCACTGAAATATTAAAAGCTACTTTGTCTGCTTCAACTGATCAAAATATTAAAATTATCAACTCAGTTACTTTGCTTTTACTAATCAATGTTCCCACAAACCTCAAGTGACAGCAACCCTTCAATAAAAAAAAATAAGCAAAAAAAGAATCATTCATTTCATCTCCAAGAATTACCTACATCAAAGTATGCAGCAAACATATCATCTGATTCTGTGAACATATCAGGAGCCAGCAGTTTCTTCTGAGCTGAACCTTGAAAGGAAATTCACATTATTCAAAGTGAGGAAGATGGCAAGCAGACAATTAGCAGTGCAGTCTGTGACTTTATATTGGTACAACACAACCTCAAAATCAACATGGTGGCAAACTGAAGATTTGCAAGGAAAGTTAAAGCTAATTTACATTATCCATATACAAAAATGAGATGGTTAAGTTCTTAAAAAATTGTACCTCTTTGAAAAATTAAGTATAGCAGCTTTCAAGCAATCCACAAACCAGGAATATGAGGTTGGTACTTTATACGATCCTTACAAGTGACTGCACAAAAATAGACATTTATACGTATTACAAGATGCAGACAAGTGATTTCAATATACAAGTGTGGGGTTTTCTGATAATCACCAAGTATTTTACTAAAAACCAAAGTTGTACAGCCCAGAAACTGTTTCTTTGGAAAATGTTTTCTTCAGCTCCATCAGAAAGGATCTCATGTAGCTTACAGTGAAAGATGAAGCTAATCATGTTTAAAAGACAAACAACCTTAATGTGGAGATGATTATCCCTCTGTCACCTTTCAATCTTTAAAGTCTGAAAGACATCTTAGTTGGTTGACAAGATAAAAGCAAAGAAATGTAAATTAAGTTTACATATGTGAATGCAAACAAACTTCAAACTATTTCATAACACACAGTATGGGAGTAGCATTCCTTCATTACCATGGTCAGACACAGGTACTGTTAAGGGCATACAGCAAAGGAGAAAAATAAACAGTTAACCTTAGAATTCTCCAGTCTCCTGAAGGAACCACTTTCAAACAAAACATCAATCTTCTGAAAGCATCAAAAACTCGTCCATCATACTGACACTGTTATTTCAAGGTACAGACCCTCCTAGCAGCTGCCTTGATTTTTCCTTTTAATTTCAATTACTCACATTTTAACTGGGCTACAGTGATTACTAATGATTGCATTAGTGACTTACTATTGTGCCTTTGTAGAAGGTCAAGTTATATATTGCTCTGACAAAACAAACAGATGATCCTGTTTCCTCCTATTGTTACAGCCACCTCCAATCCAACCTACCAATATACTGAAGCTCCTGCAGTGCATTGGTGCAACTGATCTTTTTGTTTGTTTGTTTTAAAATCCTCTCTAATGTCATTAAAAAGCCCATGTAGTTAACAGTTTTATTTCCATTATCTTTTAGTGGACAAAATTAGAAAGCAAAAAATATATTAGTGAGTGTTTTATATAAAAAGGACTGTTCCACCTTGTGCTATGCTAACAGAGAAAAGATACACAAGAGTTTTCTTTTACCTTCATAACAAGAGAATAATCTCAAAATGCAATCTGCACAAGGGAACACCAGGACAAACTGCTCTGTACCAGTCCCAGAGATGTGCAGCTTTACTATTTCAAGGAAGGATCCACTAGAACATAGCCAAGGATATATCTAGTAGATGATACGAAATACAAGCTGTCCAGCTGTCTCCTGAAGGGCTGGTCAGGTTGAACAGCCAGTTCAAGTATGTCTGCATGGCAACTGGAGACACAACTTTGGCTGGCTGGAAGACTTAGGGTATACCAGCCTCAAAAGAGGGTCCAAAAAAAAAAATATTCCAAACAAACAAACAAGATCTATGGTCTGTATTCCTTTTGCCACAGCGGGACCATGGCAGGCAGGAAGAGGAGGACAACAGTATTCCTTCGGCAGGAAGTTACACATGGGCAAGCTAGCAATGACTCTCAAAAGCCCCATCATTCTAAACAACTTCAGATACACATGCATTCTTCAAACAGTTGCTCTAACCAATAAATGAATGAATGAAGTCATGGTTTGCAACTCTCTCCAAAATGAAGATAAATAAATTAAACTTGTAAGAAAAAAGTATGCATAAGTGAAAACTTTTCATTTAAAAAGAAGTGGTTCTTAATTATCAAATCAGACATCACTATCTGCTCTTCCATATTTATGGAATGAACTGTATTAAGAGTTACTAGAAATGGAGAACACTTTGTTCATGTCAACCTCCTTCACAAACAAGCTTTATTATTTTAATACTATGTTTGAAATATCTTAATGTTCAAGGAAATACTGCAGACTCTGTCCAAAAAGTCAATATGCTCCCAAGTCTAGAGGTATATAAAGAAACAAAGGAATACATCCATTTTGCACTGTTTTAATACACTGCATTCAAGTGAGGTTTCAGATTCTTACCGTTGTTCTGTTCCACTGTCATGAGGTTGTGTTTGGCTTTTACTGATGCCTCAAAGGTGTCCACGTTTTCCCGTTCATACTCTTTCACATCAGCAGCGACCCTTTCCAGGATGTCATCCGGTGAATTTGAGCGACTGCGCGTACTGCTCTGAGGACTGCTTGGTTCAGATGGCACAGATATATTACTGTCTTCTGTCTGGCCCTTGTATTTCTAAACAGAAACACAATTATTAACCTCAGCATTACAGTTTATCACAGTTTAATTATTTTTATTTTCATCCCTAATGGCTTGTGCTGAACATTAAATCTTTGCCTTCATAATCACCTACATCTCTAATGGCAAATTCTACAGATACGTAGAATTGGTATCATAGAATCACAGAATTGATTGGGTTTGGGTTGGAAGGGACCTTTAAGATCACTTCGTTCCAACCCCCTGCTATAGGCAAGGACAGCTCTCTCTAGACCAGGTTGCTCAAAGCCTGGCCTCGAATGCTTCCAGGGAGGGGACATCCACAACCTCACTGGGCAACCTGTTCCAGTGTCTCACCACCCTGACAGTAAAGAATTTCTTCCTCATATCTAGTTTAAATCTACCCTCTTCCAGTTCAAAGTTTCTTTTCATCCTGTCACTACATGCCTTTATAATAAGTCCCTCCCCAGCTTTCCAGTAGGCCCTTTCAGGTACTGGAAGGCTCCTATGAGGTCTCCTCAGGGCCTTCTCTTCTCCAGGCTGAAGACCTCAGCTCTCTCAGCCTGTCCTTGTAGGGGAGGTGCTCCAGCCTTCTAGTCTTCATGGCCCTCCTTTGAACCCGCTCTAACAGCTCCATGTCCTGCTTGTGTTGGGGGCCGCAGAACTGGATGTAGGCTATGAAAACTCATTCTACTACAGCTCAATAAAACTGAAAAAGTGCATGACATTTCAGGCACTTCTGTATTTCTGTATTTCCTTCCTTGTGCCTGCCATAATGTTAGTACTGACAGGTTCATTATGACAACAGTTTGGAAAACAAGGAGTAAAATAAAGTCCTTAAAAAATAATTCAGTCATTGCTCTGAAGGATTTTATCATTAAATTTATATAAAAATCAAAAGATGACCATTATTTTTAGTGCTGCTTAAATTAAGTACTACATTATAACCAGTGTTTTTATAATTAAGTATTAAGTAAAAACGTCACAGAATTTTGCCTGCTGTGTTCTGTGTGCCAAATCCCGCCTTTAAAAGAAAAGCCCACTTGTTCTTTACAATTACATCCCCTCGGCCTGGACTCTCTTTCATTGGACTCAATTACACATTACTCATCACCACTGCCACCTTCTTACCAGAAGCAAAACCTTAATGGCAGCAAAAGCATACGTCTGACTAAATCGACTTTCATGAAGGGGAAAGCAATTCAGTGGCTCTACTAAGTTTTGGAAAGGGACAAGTGCTATTTGAAACGAACTAACCACTTTGATTAACTGATACCTAAGTGTTAAACTGATATTATAATATCAACAATGCAGCCCTGAGGAAAACCTGTAGGTGAGAATAAATGAGAATATTTTTAACATGTCACATCATAGGACCATCAGATAGTGTTTGATTGTGACACAAAAATGACTGATGGGAGAGTTGCTTCAGTCTTAGAAGTAATGCTGCTGCAGTAGGAGTGTCAGCTCTGACCAAGACTAATCTTTAGAATAATTTAATTGGAAAAAAATAGTAATAGTGAATACTATTGTAATAGGCTAATACCCTTCTCCTTCATCACACTTTACACTAAAAACGTGGAATTTATTTCCATAACCCCTGTGATAATAGAGCCATTACCTGCACGATTGCTTGCCGCTGTAACCTTCGCTGTCTTATTTCTGCTTCTTCATCCTCTTCTTCCAAATCAAAATCTTCAAGACTATAAAAATACAATTACTTTTTATGTAGCATCATAAACGTAATATTACATACTGAATCCTACTAAATGCTGTTTTTTGGTGCAGAAAAGCACACAATAGAATATTGAACCAAAATTGTTAACCTGACTCAGAAAGCAAAACGTATTAAAACCCAGTGTGTTCATTCATGTTTCCTTACTGATAAAATGTGTCCACAGATAGCTTGAGATGAAGCCTTTCATTCCCAACTGCAGACTTGACTGTTATGAATGCATTATCTCATGCTGTCAGATTAGATATTTAGCAAATACAGAGAACAATTTGCTAGTAGCAGTTAATCCTTTCTGGTTTTCAAGCAATATCCTAAGATACACACCAGACCAAATTATTTTCAAAAGACATTTATCAAGTCAAAATTAGTAACCAAACCATGCATGAGCCCCTAAAGGTCTCCCCACCAAACAACAGATCTCAATCATCCCAATAGCAATTGGACAAGATTAAAAGTAACATAACATGATTAAGGTTGTAGATGACAGCCCAAAAACTACAGCATGAAGTTTTGGTTGGTTCCCATCATTACTGGATCTGCATTTTAAGACAGTAAATTAGACCTTAAGACTTACTTTTCATCGGATGAAGACTCCTGTTCAGCTTTCATGCCCTCAGAAAGACTGCCTTTAAATTTGTCTTCTTTAACTTTGCTCCTACTCCTACGTCTGTGGCCACCACGTGACCTGGACCTCCTTCGAAGGCGAGACCTACTTCTTCGGCCTCTATCCCTGGTAACAGTAAGGGGGATTTTTTGTTTGTTTTGTTTTGCTTTTTATTTTCTTGTTTTTAAAAGAAAGAGAGGAAAACCTATTCATAAAACAAAGACACACAGCAACTCCAAGTAATACAACAACTGAATTTATGGAGGACAAGATTAATTCAACTATGCCAGCTTATAGATAAGCAGGGACTGAAAAACGCATTATCTCTTTACACATAAGATACCTTGTGACTTTTGTATCCTGTAAAACAAAGGAACAAACCCACGTGGTGTCCTTACCTCCTCCGAGGGGACCTACTCCTCCTTCGTGGAGACCGGCTGCGTCGAAGGGGTGAGCGAGACCTCCTCCGAATGGGTGAGCGGGACCTCCTTCGGGATGGAGACCATCTGCTGGGCGGGCTGATGTCTTTTGATCTTTCACGTCTAGACAAAATATCATCTCTGGTCCGCGTTCTTAAAATGAAGAAAGAACCACAGTAAAATAAGGAGCGAGCTGAAAACAAATCCTCCAGTTCCTTCTAAAATCTCACTGTTAAGTATCTTCCTGCAGGCGAGGATCCATCAGATGGATTTCTGAGTGCAGAAATGGGTATGTGTGCTGCAGAGCTGGCTGCCCTCCATGTACTCGTCTTCCCAACCTGGGAAATATGTGCCCACACACAGGTCTAGCTCAGGACAACTCTGGAAGCAGAGCTAGTTAATCACTACGATAAAGCTAAGAAATTTCTAAAACAAAGCTTGCATTTATGTCTTACATAAATAGCAGCCTGTTTTCATGTTGATCAGAAGTGATATTCAATAAATAAAACCTAAAACCAAATTCTTGAATTTTTCTCAGCAATTCTACAATATGGAGTTTAAATTTAGGACAAACTATTCCATGACAACTTCCATGTGTTTTCCAATCTGGCTTCTAGAAGTGAACAGCTTCTGCATTCCACATAGTGCAGTAGTGCAGCTAAAAGCAATTCTCAATTAACACTTCTCAAATTAAAATAACTATAAACACACACACATCATATATATATATATATACACTATGTTCATTCTTATCTATACAGATGAACAACTATTTAAGAAAAAAAAAATCCTTCATGAACCAACCACACTAAGAAGCTTAATGGTATCCCAAGACAGCAAAACTTCAATCCAAAACAAAAGCTAAAAATATCTGACAACAATTCTGATGAGGCTGTAATAGAAATTCTTGGAAAATATTTCCACTATTGTTCAATTAAGATGCTGCTGCTCCATTTCTTTTGTTTTTACATCTTTTAAATTGAATCAGGACAAGATATTTCAGGTGCTGTATCTCATGAATTCACAGTCTCTCAGGTCTGAAAGATCAACTCTACCCATTCTGAAATGATGTTTTTGGTTTTTTTAGTGACTGCTATTAACAGCTTCAGTTACCCTAGCTGCATATAATGAACACACATGCAGAATTGATGGATAACAGTAAACAGAAACAAAACACACACAGAAGCAGTGCTGGTTTCTGCAAGAATGATGGAGAAGATCCCCTTTTCGCTTTTAATTTATGTTACATTTTTGTGAACAGTGTCACGAAAAAAAAAGCCACACAGGATGAACTGACAAGCCTTCTAGTTTACAACGTGGTTGTGCTGCCAAAAGCCAATCAAAATAGCTGCAAAAAGAATCCCAATCAGTTCAGGGATCGCATACATGTGATAGGAAGTAGAAGGTGATTAGAAACCCATACGCTGTACAGTAACATACTTCAGCCAGGGAACTAAGAAGTATCTTACACAAGTGGAACACTGGGAGCAAATATGAAAAATCAAATTCCTGGGAATTTGTGGTTGAAACTGCTCACTGGAGCTCCTGAAGTTATCTGGCAGCCTGGGTAGTTACAGGCAGTTAAAACTCAAACATGGCAACATTGGTTCAAGATGTCCCACAAAGAAAGCCTGTTCACTTCCAGCAGAAAATATTTCTCAGCAGTCCCCCACTGCTGTGAAGTAGTGTAGCAAAAAAAAAAAAAAAAAGAGGTATTACTAAAGTTACTCTTCTATGAACTTGACAGCAAAATTCTAGACACGTGCATCTCTTGCAGTAGTGTTTAGACAACTAATTCAAACTGGCTGCAACACAGCAGCCTGCACTGAAATGCAGTTTCACTAGAAATGAAAACTGAAACTAAGACAGACAAGTACTATGTCCAAGCAACGTATTGAATGCTCGTTCACCAGGAACTGGTTGGATAAACTGGTGCCATTTACAATATTTGCTTCATCTCATTAACACCACAGGGGCCGTTTTCCAAAGTGCCTGCAGTGTTGCTTGTCAATAGTATACAAAGCAAGCTGGTAGTTGCGCCTGTGGAAGATACCCACGTTTAAAATTATCCATCATCAAGATGCTCAACTCTCGCTTCCTGGATTGTTTTGTTCAATGCAGCCACGTCCAACCCTGCAGCCTGGCACAGCTGGCACTGCTGCTGCCTCTTCCCCGCACCATCACGGCTGTGGCTCTGTCCCTCTGAGCACCCCTGTCCGGCCCTGGGCACTCACCCACTGCTACAACAACCACACAGCGGTGTGTGATTGGGACAGCCTGGGTGGAACCAGGGGAACGGGCACTGCAGTGCTGACTCCGGCTCTCCTGCTCGTCTCAGACGTAACAGGTCTCACTTCCACTGAGCATGTTCCATGTACTTAAGCACCTTGGAAAATAGCACTGTGTTTAATTTGTAAGGAAATCGTGTCAGTTTCCAAAGTTGACAATTTAAAAAGACACTATATGCAAAAACATGCAGCCACCTTCAATGTGTATCAAGGAATGCTTTACAGATAAACTAGTGGAACTGAAAAAAATCTGTCATCTCAAAGATTTTTCTTTAAAAAGCACTCCATTATTAGAGAGAAATATCCCTCACTTCACAATCGTGCCTTATTCACGGCATCACTTTTGGCAGCACGTACATTTGTGAACACCTGTTTTCAAGGATGAAGTACAGGAAGAGCAAAATTTCAGTAGAAATCTCTGGAGAACACCTCGAGAGCTCACTAGGAATTTCAGCCACTGCCACTGAACCAGTCTGGCGCATTAGTATCACAAAAACAAAAAGGGTCAGAAACAGGGTCAAATATCCCACGATGTCTAGTTTTTTTTTTTTGCTTTGCCTTAATAAAAAAATATTTTAAAAGTCCTTTCTTATATACATTAAATATACTATGTATTCTATATGCGGCCCAAGACAATTCCTTCTTGCTCATTGAGGCCCAGGGAAGCCTAAAGTTTGGACACCAATGGTTTAATGGGTTAACTTCCAAAAGTGTATACAATTTTATTGTTCTCTGCTAAGGAGCTTGCTATCCAGGCCTCACCAGATTCAAAAATGCTACCGTCTGATGGTTTATATTAAATCTTAAAGTAACTGCTTTCAGAACCTAAACTGCATTTTAAAACAAATGACAAAAGTACTAAAGTACTAAAAAGATTAAATCCTTCCTACCTCATTTATGCATATGCAAAATATGGCAATAATATACAAGTTTGGGCCCACTATCAAAACAGACCAGTAATGCTACCATGACTCCACCAAATTAAAGAGACAAAACATTTCTAAGTAAAAAAAAGACTAAGAAGCATATCTGAAAGTCTAGTTTACACCATTCACACATGCTATCACTTTTCAGTAGGTGTGTGGGGAGATGCCAACAATGACATTTAAGAGGAGAGGGAAGAAAGTTCTCCCTTCACAGGAATTCCTGAAAACAACATTATATTAACTTAAGAACCAAAACAGAAGCTAAAATCTGAATTCAACACAGCAACAAAAAGCAAAACCTGAGCTACAAAACTTGTTCCGAGACCTGGCGAGAGCAACAAACAGCAAAGCTGGCTTTGTGTGTCTGTCAGCTGGGGTTAGTATTTTTGAAAGATGACTGCATGTAATGGAAACTCATAATACGATACACAACCTGATTCTCTTTTAACAGCTCTATTCAGAATGAAAGAGAAACACCAAACTAGAAGACGGTTTATCCCACAGCACATTTTTGCAATGGTTCATGACATTTTACCTGGGAGATGAAAGACGCCTCCTTTCTGATTCCCTTCTCTTCCTTTCTGCAGATCTACTCCTCAATCTTCTAGCTGGAGAGCGGGTTCGAGAGGGAGATTTACTCTGTTTGGATCGACGATCATTAAAGAGAGGGGACCTGCTTCTTCTTGACTTTTCACGTGGCTTAGGAGACAAGCTTCTTCCTTTTGGGCTTCGGCCAGGTCTTCTGGGGGACCTGTTTTCTTTCCCTGAAGAAGCGTCTTTAGAAGGAGATTTAATTGGCTTTTTATCTTTGTCAGTCTCTGATCGCCTAGATTTTCTATCTTTGGACCGCGATCGTCTATCTTTGGATTTGCTTCTGAGTTCTGCTGGAGATTTGGACTTTCTGCCGCGATCTCGACTTTTGCTTTCATTTACAACTGGAGACTTCCTGCGATCCCTTGATTTACTCTTATCGTCAGCCTTGTTTCTGTCTTCTGGGGGAGATTTAGACTTCCTATTTTTCTCCTGAGATCTTCTTTTAAGCATTGGAGATCTTGATTTCCTTGAAGTCTGATCTTGAGACTTACTTCTTTTACAGGGGCTTTTGGATTTTCTCCTCTCTTTCGACTTGCTTCTGGTTGTTTTCTCTTTGATTCCATCAACCGCTACCTTGCTTTTCTTTTTGTCAGATCTGTGCCTAGTCCTTTCTTTTGATTCACTCTTATTTCCTTTTTTGGAACTAGCTTTATTTTCCACAGGTTCTAATTTCCCCTTAGTGTTTGACTTAGTTGCAGGTCTAGTTCCATTTCGTGCCTTTTCGTTAATTTCCCCCTCCTCTTCAGATCCCGACTCATAACCTTGTAATATTAATCCCATACCAGACTGGACTTTGCCTTCCATTAATTCATTTTCAAGTTCAGCTTTCAATAAAGCTCTTTGTTTCTCCAAGTCTTCCAGAGGAGCTAAAAAATCAATTTTAGTTCTTTTAGCTGGTCCATCTTCCTTGTCAGAGGCATCGGCTACCTCTTTCCGTTTATGTTTCTTATGTTTGTGTCTGTGTTTATGTTTTTTGTCCTTATCTTCTTCTGATGAATGTTTATGTTTCTTGTGTTTACTTCGGTGTTTGTGTTTCTTTTTTTTGTGTCGGCTGTGCTTGTTCTGAGGTTGATCTGCTTCTGACACTTCCCCATTTTCTTCATTTGTACTTTTCTCAGATGCGTTAGCATCCTCAGCCCTGCAAAAAAAGAAAACTAGCCATCAGTACCAGCAATTCACGGCAGCCCTTAAACTCAAGTTAGTTTGATAGCCTCTTTTATGACAGAAGCTGACTGGTATTTAATTATCTGCTTTTGGAGAATTAAAAAAGTACGAGCAATGTAATGAAGTTGTAAGAGCAGGCATAGTTTGTCACCAACAGACAGCTATGACTGCAAAAAGAAATACTAGCTTAGGAGGATGGAGCAAATACACCAACAAAACAAACCACGTAGGTTTGTTACTGGTTCAATGTTACTGGTTCAACACTGCCAATATTATACAACAGTGCTGTGCATTTATACCTCCTGTTAGTCCAGTATCTGTTTTATTCACTGTTCCATTCCTATGCCAAATCCAAGCTATGTCCTCTAAAAGTACTTTCAAAAGACAGAGCGCAGTTTTCCTCCAAAGATCAAAACTTATTTCAGGGGGTGATTCTGACCCCCTAAGTAAACCATCCTGCAGAGTCTCAAGCACAGAGGCTGATTCTCTTAACTATCATTCCTCTCCGTATGTGCATACACATGTTAGACAACACAGAACTGTTCTTATCCTGCATTTATGTATGCGATGCAGGGAACAGCATCAAAGAACAGGATCAATTAAGAACACCTAATTTCAGAAAAGCTTTCCAATAGAATACAGAAGCTTATTAGCTTCCTGAGGAAAAAAAGTATGTTCTCTTTAGACCTGTAAAATGGCACTGGACAGAAACAAAAAACAAACAGAAAATAAGTATAGAACAGGTTATTAAAATAATAATGGTGGTCTCTTTAAAAAAAAAAAAAAAAGAAAGAAATCTAATTTCAATTAGCTAGTCACAGCAACAAGCACTTTAATTAGACAAGGAGTTCAAAAATTACATAAGTCAGTGCGCACGCTCCACACATTCACTTTTATTGTTTTCCCTAGAAGCTGAAATTGGCTTATCAATAGACATAAACAGCTCTCAGCAAATACCTTCAGAACATCAATTACCAGCTACAGCAAGATGGATATTTGCCTTTTAAAACCTGCTGCCAAATCACATCTTAGGTGCCAGCATCGCCTTTCTGCAAACTCACCCCCCCTGCACTAGTTTTGGAACTCGCTAACGCTCTGTGTTTTAGATACTGCTCTATCCCCAGCCTCATTCATTGAAGGGAAGCTCTTGGGGTGTGATGGTCACAGTGATGGTGAGATGCACACAGAAATGTAGAGATACCCTCAGAACCCCACTAGGTTCATCCTACAGAGGTCTCTGAAGAATATGACCCGTGATCCATTGGTATAATCGTACCAGAATTATTCTTAGCCAACTAAAGGATGCCACCTCACTACAAAGTCAATTTACATTCTCCTCATTAAGGACGGGGTCTTCAAACAGCACAGTTAATGATTATCTCCTATGTGAGTTAATGCAAATTCATATACTAGAAAACAATCTAGACTTATTGTCAGCGTACTCTGAAATAATTTGCTGAAACTGTTGACACTTCATTGCTCAAAAATATCCTCAGTCCCTTTCCAAGGGAGCAGCCTATTTGAGTTAAAAATATGCTAGCTTCTAACAGAAGTGTTAATGCTGCACGTTTCTTCTTTTACATCTCTACCACTACTGCTGCTTACTCAACCAGAGCAGGAAGAAGGGCTTTTTTCTTAACTGCCCCCTCCTGTCACCCGACATCACCACACAACAGACTATGCAAAACAAGACAAACTGCCTCCAGAGGAGTTTGTTTAATGGTATGTTTGGCACAAAAGACGCACAAAAAAAAAAAAGTAGTAGATTTAAAACTTTCTCAATTTGGATCTGCAATCCCGAGCAATGAGTTAGCAAAAGGGCAGAGAAACGTGGCAAGGAGCACATTAAGGTGACCGTGCATCTTTCAGGACTTCTCAGCTGGCTACAGGGAGCTGCGAGGGTCCCCTGTTGACACATTCATGTTTTTTCAATACATTATAAGAATATCGCAGGTCCATTCGAACTGCTCCAGAGAAGCCTCCTTTTGCCAGCATTAAATCACACAATAGTTTGGGCTGAAGGGACCTTAAAGCCCAGCCAGCCCCCTGCTGTGGGCAGGGCTGCCATCCACCAAATGAGGCTGCCCAGGGAAATGGTTCGGAGCTACTCCACGTGCAGGCACTGATTTATTTCATGTAACACCATCAAAACACAGGCAAGCTTTTAATTCGTTTAACAGCTTCAGAGTTGTAATTACATGGAAGAGAAACATTTTAAGAAGACTTCAGAAGGCGACGAGGCCATGAGGTATCTTTATGCTTCCATAGGAGTTGTGACATCTGTGTTACAGCCTCACTGTCCCTTTTTTTGGGATTCAAGGAGAAGAACTATGGGAAGCCTATGAAGATTTGCAGAGATTTCACCCATTTCTTCCCTACCTTTGGGCTTTCTATCGCAGTCGTCACTTTATTTCCCTTATTTACGGTTCCCTACAGGGCACTGAGCATATTTATCGGCACGCTCACGTGTTCCACAAGGTTCACACACAGACGAGGAAAAGCAGTTTTCCACTCCTGTGCCTAACGGGTAAAAATCATCCTCAGACAACGGGAGAGAAGGGGAGCACAGACAGCGTTCCACGAGGCCGAGCTACCCGGGCGACGCCGAGGAGTGGCGAGGCGGGCTCCGGGCGCTGGAAGCCCGCGGAAAGCATCGCGCAGCCCCCACCGCCGCCAGCCGCCACTCACGCGGCGGGCCGGAAGGAGGGGCCGCCGGCGACAAATCGCTTCTCGCTTCCAGCAGCGCCGGCACTCTTGGTACCGCGAGAGCCCGCGGCTCGGGGAGTCGGGCTGAGCGCCGAGCGGAGGAGCGGGCCGGGCCCGGCGGGGCGGGAGGCGCACGCGGCCGGAACGCACGCGCCGCTCCGGGCGCCGCTTCCCCTCCCCCGCCCCGAAGGCCATCCGCCGAGCGGCCTCAACCTCCTCCCCGCGGCGGGCCGGGCCGCGAGCGGCTCCCGGCGACCGCGTTCGCACCCTTCTCCGCGGAGCGGCCGCCCGCCGCCCTTTCCCTCCTCGTTCCCCCCGCCGCCTCCGGCCCAGCCGCCCCGCCGCCGGCCGCCCTTCCCCGCGCCGGGGCCGCTCGCCGCCTCCTCCCGCCCCGGAGCGCCGTGTCGAGCGGCCGCCCCGCCTGCCCGCCCGTCCCACCCGTCCCTTACTCGGGCGCTCGCTGTTCGGGCTCCGCCGCGGCGGCCATTTTGAACTTCCAAACTCCTTCGCTGCCGCTGGGGAGACGCGGGGCCGCGGCGCACGCGCAGCCGGGCCGCCGGGAGGGGTTGGGGACGGCGGGGTGGCGGCCGCCGGAAGCGAACCCTGCGTGCGGGGCGGGCTGCGAACCGCCGGCGCCGCCCTCAGCCTCGGGGCGCGCGGGCGGCGGTGGGGAGCAGGCGGGAGCGTGGCGGCTGCGGTGCTGCTGATCCTTCGGCTGTGGTTAAGACGGCCCAGAGAGGACTCTCGTCGTTCTTCTGCTGGTTTGCCCAGCGGCACCGCCTGAAGATGAATGAATTTAACTGCGAACGTGCTGTGCTCCGCCGGCGAAGCCCAGGAAAGCAAACCTCCGGGCGCTACCTCGCTGTGTCTCCGGGCTCCGAACGCACGTTGCTGGCCCGGTGTGAGCGCTGCTTGTTCCAGCATCAGAAGCGTGATCACAGCACGCCTGGCTCCACATTCAAGGTCCGGCTGGATGGGGCTCTGAGCAGCCTGATGTATTGTAGGGATCCCTGTTCATTGTGGGGGAGTTGGACTGGATGACCTGCAAGGATCCCTTCCAACTCAAATGGTTCTATGGTTCTGAGTCAAGTGTCAGTCAGTCCTAGCATGGACCAAGATGGAAGTGTGTCATACAGCACAAGAGATGAAGTTGACCAAGAAAATAAAGAAAACCCTGCAAAAACATCTGTCTCGTTGCCACTGTTGATGTCAGATGCTGTGATATGAGCCTGGGGAGTCAGTGCAGTAGTTCACCTGGCCCTTGCTCTTGTGAAGTCGTGAACATCTTGTTCAGAGAAGAAACAGATCGGTTTCAGCTTGAGGAGCCCCAGCCTGCAGTTTCTGCTTCTCTTTCAAGTTCTGTAGGCTCTGGCAAAAGAACAAAAGTGAAGAAGCAGCCCAGGCTATTGCACCTTTAAGCTTGTATTGTTTCCAGTGTTAGAACTCAGACTATAGTTTGGATCCTAAAGCTAAACTGAAGGCTGAAAATCGCAAAAATTAGAAGAAAGCTAAATGTAATGATAGATGGTTAGCTCATCCTATGAAAGATGTCTGCACCTTAAAGCCGGGCTCTAAAAGAGCACAGTGTTCCTCTGGTTATATTTACAGCGTGGAGCTGAAGTCAAAAGATGTTCAGAAAATCCAGGAAAAGTGCCTTGATGTGGATTGAAGTTGTCATGTGACTCACTGGGTCCTAATGGAAAATCTGTTGAACTTGCTCAAGCAGATACAAGTAACTTAGCAGGGCTTGCTCCATGGAGGTGTTTTCTGTCATCAAGTGCCTGCGGAATGGCACAAGAATTCTTCCAGGGGAAACTTTATCTCTTTTGGTGCAAGAAGTATTCATCACCACTTGAAAATGAGCAGGTGAGAAATCTCCATGCAGCTTGCCATTAATGGGATCCATCCAAATGTCTCCACTTTGATTTTGCCAGTAAGTCAAATATATTTTATATTGTAGTACACCTGCCTCAGCTATATACTTGTCACTGCATGTAACTTTTCATGGTCAACGGTAATTAGTAGAGACTTTCAGCATTGTATATGCTATTGTAAGAAGCTACAGCAAACCAACTGTTTGAAAAAGAAGACCTAAGAATTACAAATATGTTGTACAACTTCACTTTTTGGTGCCGTCCTTTCATTTTGCAAAATCCTGGCTCATTTTATAATGTGAATTCTGAGTAGTTGAGCATCATATTCCAGTAATTTCAAAATTGTTTCTAAGGGTCAGCAGCTTTGCTATTGTTACCAAGAAACATATAGACATGTTACTGAGGAACATGGCACATATCATGGTGGGGATGGATTGATAGTTGAACTAGCTGATCTTAGAGGTTTTTTCCAATCTTAATGATTCAATGAAGATTACTGTTTTGTTTGTTGGTTTGTTTTTTTTTTTATCTCTTAAGTTATGTGAAGTAGCCAATAGCTAAATGTTATCTCTGTTCGTAAGGGTAAGACTGACAAAGTAACTTAATCTGTATTTCCTGAGTCAGAAAAGGACAAAATTCCAGTGTTCCAGGGCTGATCTTCTTTACACTGACTGCAGGTGCTGCCTTTGTACTAAGTGATAAAGGAGGCAGGGAATTACTTTTTTTTTTTTGCTTACCAAAACAAGCTATTGGCAAACAAGCTTGGGAAGAAGCTCTCTTTGGATAGGCAGCTCATCCCACTATAGCTTTATCTCTTTCCCCAGTTTCTGAGAAACTACTGCTCAAATCTGATTTGTCAATTGCTACATTCCCAGAAATAGGCATGGTTGTTCAGTACGTTAATTGTAGACAAATGGAAAGAGGTGTTTCTGTTACTAACTGCACATGTGTAGGGGAACTGTTGTATCTCAGCTTGAACTGGTGATTGAGCACCTGGTGAAAGAGTGTGGCTGACCTAGGGAATACAAATACAGGGCAAATTGTTTGCATCTGTGCTCCCCATGTGCACCCACCAGAAGGGATGGAGCTATCCTGGGCTCTTATAGAGGACAGCCACTGAAAGGAGAGCATCTCTTGGGCTTAGGCTGCTTCTTTAGAAGGAGTGCTGAATAGCCAGAGATACCTTTTGCCAATTAGTTGAGTTTGATTTTTCATTCTGTGTATGACTGCTGGCCTATCCATGAATCCTTTACCTGGTATTGCTAAGAACCTGTGAAAAACTATTTTGCTTTTCAGTGAGCAGAAAAAGGCGTTTTGCCCATGCAAAACCATGAGTTTAGTGCTTGCCTTGAAGTTGCTAGTTAATATTTCGAAAAAGCTGCTTACAGAGGTTACTGAATGTTTTTCTGCTTATGTGGTTGGAGTTACAGATAATACGCAGTGACTGTTATGGCTAATAGAGACCATAGAATCATCAAGGCTGGAAAAGACCACTAAGATCATCTAGTGCCCACTAACCCATATTCCTTAGTGTTACATCTATGTGTTTCTTAAGCACTTCCAGGGATAGTGACTCCACCACCTCCCTGGGCAGCCTGCCAGAACCTTTTTAGATTTTTCCTAATATACCTAATATATTGAGCCTCCCTTGGCTCAACTTAAGGTCATTACCTCTTGTTCTTTCGCTAGTTAACTGAGAGGAGAGGCCAGCTGCCCGAAATTCCTGCCACCTGGGTTGAGCTGTTGGTTCAGTTCTAATTGCCTCAGTAAGGTCTATAGGATGAGGTGATGAATTACAGGAGTGCTTTGGAAATGAGCAGCAGTCAGATAAGAAAACAGTCAGTGTTAACTGCCGGTATGTGGAATTCCTGTGATTGTGGCGAGGCCACACTTTGCATCTGTGTTGTGGTATTGGTTTTAAGGACTTTAGATTCTGTTCTGCTGTCCAGGTTTGAAGTCTACTTGTTTACCTTTGGGATAGGTGGGGTTTTTCTGAAATATAACTCTTCAGTTATTGGCTAGAGATAGACTTTCTATAGAAAGCATAGCAGAATTTTTGAAGGGAAAGTAACTCAAAAAATAAAGTCACTTACAGAGCTGGAAGCAGAGAGTGTTTTTCTTCTTTCGCAATTGCAGTCTCTTCACTTACTTGCATGTAACTGAAAGTAGAGAGCAATGCTGCAGTTCACACTAACTAAAAATGCAGAGAGAGATCTGAAGTTGTGACAGAGCTCCTGCTACTTATGTAACACAATTTCAAACCAGATGATTATTATGTTGAAGAGACTTACAAGTACCTATCCAAGCAGTATTTCCTGAAGTGAAAGGAGATCTGTTTTGTACTGACAATTTCAATCCCTACTTAATGGTTTGATTTCCTTCTTGTTCCTTCCTTTCCTTTTTCTGAAAGATCACAATCCACCTTTCTTGCTACTGTAGTGAGAGGCCATTCTGGGACTTCTTTCTGAGATGTTTGTTTTACAGTTTCCATCACATTCGAGGGGCAATGAATTTTGAAGATAACTATTCACTGTTAACACATGCAGAAAGTTTTCCTAATTTTCAGCTTTCTAGCTGAAGTAATGGTTAAAATTGTATAGGTTGTATAGTGACAGTTTACCATCTCTATCAGGAATAGAGTCAAAAGAACTGATAGACTAATTGTGTTGCTTGTTATCTTTTTATTCTTTAGAACTTATGAGACAAACTAGAAGCTGCACCAGAATGGAATGATTTTATATTAAAACCTTTACAGAGAAGGGTTAGTGGTTTTGATTACATTTACAATAAAACAGTTGTTAATGCAAAACCTACAGCCTCCAGTGAGTGCTTTCTGCAAACTAAGTTTAGGCTGTCAGAAAATGTGCTTAGAAGGTATCTAAAGCATATTGCATCCCGCCACAGAAGTCCTTTGATACTCGCCTATTTTGCTTGTTTCTTAAGTATTTCTTCTTCTAGGGGTTTTCATGTGCTCCATAATTTGATGTGCTCCACATCAAAATAACTGCTACAGCTATATATTTTTTGGTGAACACACTTCAATTTGTGGTTAAGATCTGAGAACTGCTTGCTATCCTTTGTTGTTGTTGCCTGTTTGATGAAGGGGAGAAAGAAGAATCTGAGCATGTTCAGTGCTGAGCTCTCTTTGCTTTTGTCACCAAATTGTGTCTTCGTGATCAGGAGCTGTGCTTTCTTCTGAGGTACTATCTATCTGAACTGAATTCGGCCTCATAGGGCATGAAAAAAGAGCAACCTACAAAGCACTTTATAACTGTATGAAGTTTAACAATAAATAACAACATAATAAATAACAATAACTAATAATCTGCTCCAGCTGGATCATATAAGTCTATAGGGCCCAATGGGATTCATCCCAAGGCACTCTGGTTTCTGTCTGATGTCATTGCAAGACCTCTATTTTCAATCTATTTTAGTGGTCTTGGGAATCTGAAGTAGTTCCCACCCGACTGGAAGCTGGCAAATAATGTCCCAGTTTTCACAAAAGGCAAGAAATAAGACCTTGATAATTACAGGCCTTGTCAGTCTCATTTCAGTGCCTGGCACAAATGATGGAGATTATTCTGGGAGTTAGTGGAAAAACACCTGAAAGCAGTCATTGGGCAGAGTGAGCATGGATTAACCAGGGGGAAGAAAGAATTCTTTAATCAACTTTGAGCAGGTTGCCCAGCTGGCTGACCAGGGGAGGTCATTGATGTAATGTTTTTGGATTCCAGTGAAACTTTGGATGCTAGACTTAATGATCTCTTCCAACCTGGCATGTGCTATGACTCTGAACTTTTTTGTTTCTTAAGGTAAAACAGCTGTTTAGAAACAAAATGAAGACAGTACAGTGACGTACAGGGAATGGATATTTCACGTTGTGTGCATCTTTGTCTTTTTGAACTTCATGTGTTGGTAAGAGTTTCTGATTGGCTCAGTTTCACCATTTTTAGAATATTTTTTAGAATATCCTTTTTAACAGTTCATAATCACTTGATTAGATAATTAGCTGTCCGTTAGTTTAAAAAGATTCTTTTTATTATTTTTTTTTGAGTTAGTAGCAGCAAATTTCTCTTCAGTCATCAGTGTTTCATCTTATTCTATGAGAACTTTCCATCTGCAGCAGGTAAAGATTCTTCTTTCATATGATGAAGGCTCTGTGTTATCTGAAAATTTCACTCCTTTTTATTAATGAACACAATCCTTCAATTGTGGGGAGAGAATATTGTAATGCTTAATATGTCCAATCGAAAGGGTGCTTCAGGTATGAAGCTCTTCTGTCTTTGTAATAATTTGACTGGAATATCAGTCAGAATTCTGATACTTCTGAGTGAAGGCCAGTTGTGCTCCACCTAACAAATTTAGATCATTCTGACAAAGAGCTTGGTCTCTTTCTGATTACCTTCAATGATGTGCATATTGTAGTTCATACTTCTGGCAGTTCCAGTTCCTTAGAACTCAACCTGCAGTTTCCTTGACTTGTGGTGTTTAGAATGTTGTTGTTTGGAATGACCTGACTGTGCTTCTCTGACTTCTACCAGACGTTTTTATTTAATGAGATTAACTAAAACAGAGTGAATCTGACAAGAAAATATATATTTGATAGGTTGCTTTCCATTTCATCTAGTTCCATTCAAATATGGCTAACTTAAAGATTTCTTAAGAGCAACTTTCTAAGGACTCTCTCTTGTTTTGTTTCTTGCAGGAGGAATCGGGCATTCTTGAGGAATCTTGACATCACCAAATTTGCCTTTAATTTCACTTTTTTTTTTTTTAATTGCAATAAAGGCTGATGTATCTAGCAGCAGTTCCTCTTCATGCTGATAAATTCTACCTAAATGCTAAGAATTCATGCTAAGAATCACTTCCTCCGAAAACAAGCATGAGATGAATTAATCATGCCTGCATTTCTCACAATTACTTTGTATTTTAACTGCTAACTTTTACTAGTTTTAATACAAAACCACAAAGTATTTTTTCACTGCTCTAGATAGACTGCTTTGTTGCCACAGTTGTTTAGAAGCTACTCTTCTCCCTTGACTTCTATCTTGCCTGATCT